GCTGGCAGGGGGAGGAAGGAGGACTGTTCTGAAGATTTTACTCTAATTATTCTTTTGGTTTCTGTTAATAAAGTTTCTTTGTATCCTTTTAGTTTTGAGCCTGCTTTGCCTTCCTCCTAATCCTATCTCACAGCAGGAAATGAATAAGTGTATTCCAGTGAGTGCACTGTTGTTTGGCCAGCACTGAAGCCACCACATTAATTGGTGCATTGGCCAGGAAATCTCAGATTGGCAAATCAAAACCACTACCCAGCTATAGCAAATGAATTAATTGTTGGGTAATTTAATCAGATGGCTTGCTGATAAAATTTGAGAAAAGACTTGATGTCCAGTACCTGACAAATTGGTATGGGTTTTTCTGATATGAGAAGTCTGTCCAGATGGCCCTAGAATGAAGGATAATATTCAAAATGTTGTTCTCAGAGAACTGGACAGCTGTATCTCACATGAAAATGCTTCTGTGAATTTAAAAAAAAAAACATTAAGTATAATGGAGAATACTGAAGAGAGCATTTAAATGTAATCCATTCACAATTTAGAGTAATTGACTCTGTTGGCAGGAGTTGTCTGAAATTAGGCTTTAATGGGCACAACTGTTAACACATCAATCTCAGACAAACTACACCTAGAACTAAGATGCTAACTTTTTGAAAAATGCCCTTTATTTTGTTCTTCTACCTAATACATTTCTTCATATTGTTTATAAATTTGCCACCTACAATAAAAAAGGTTTTATATAAATGTTTTACCCTTATTAATCTGCTGATAAACATCTGCAGATACTTTAAATCTGTTTAAACATATACAAATATAGTCAAGGTTCAGCAGCTTGGAGCAGAAACCCAAACACTGACATTTGCAGTGAGAAGACATTTTTGGAAGTGCATTTTCTAACAGGCTTGCAGAAGGTCTGGGAAAATGGAACAAGTCTCACACGTTAGTAGCGACATCACTTTTTATATTCCTATGAAGCATTTATGTTTCATATTAGCATCTTACTGGAATTTACCCATACCCTTCATAGCAGAATTTTGTCCTGCCATCTGACAAAGCTGTACTCAGTGCACGATTATGATCTCTCACGTCTGCCAAGGACTGAAAGTGCAGCCAGAGAGAAAGAGCTGAATCCTTGAACTCCCCAACACAGCAAAAAAGCAAATTTAACAGGGCCCCAAGGAAGACCCATTAAACCTTCATCACATATCCATCTAAAAGGTGATCATAATCTGGACTCTATAGGCTGGAGTGGTACTAAAGAATAACCAAAAGACACAATCTTGAGGACTTCCATCAAGACAGAATTCAACAAGAAGGGAAGAAAGAATGCCATTTTAGTATACGTACCTACATTTAGAAGAGGAAGAAAATTCTTGAGACACACTAATAGAATCACGTGTAATATCAAAATATGCTTCTATTTCTTACAGTACAGGATTTAGTCTTTTATATATAAAAGCTGTATGAAAGTTTTCTTTGGTTTAAGTATTCATATAGTGGTTAGATTTATCTCCTTGTAATCTTCAAAGCCAGACCAAGACATTTGTTGATTTTAAAATATTTATTCAATTTGCTTTGTAGAAACAAATTAAAAACAGACTAAAGGATGTCAAGAACTGCTTATAAGTAAGAACAATTTTTAAAAAAACAAGCTGTAAAATCTAATAAAGAAATTATGATAATCTACAGCTATCACCCCATTAATTTATTTTAGTACCATTCTTCCCTGTTAATATGAATGCTTATATTACTAGCCTGATTCATTCACACATAGCACAAAAAACACTATCCAAAAATACAAACTTTTAGGGTATTGGTAATTAAATCAGATGCAACAAAATCAGTTTTGTTTATGCTTTCCTTTGTTTAAACAAAATGTAAGAGGTGATGGGTTTTTTACCGTGAGATGGTGCATGGAATAAATATAATAGACAGTGCTAATTGCAGGAAAACACTGAAACACAAGAAAAAGATTGGTGATTATATCAGTAGAGATGGCTGTTAAGGAAAACATCCTTCCTTCCAGGTAGATATTTCCTAATAGCAGCTTAGATTTACTAATCCTTGTGGTCTACCACTTTAGAAGAAACTGTATTTTGCTCTGTATGGCAATGAGAATGATAGGGCTATTAAATCATAGGAAAACTGGAGGGAATCAATCACTTAATACTCTTCCAGGTCCTGGAATCTTTTCAGGATATTCACAGGTAGAGCAGAAAGTGAGAAAATGAAGATTTTAAAATTGTTTAAAGCTTAATTATTTCAATAGATTTCTTTGGAATTCTGCTTCTCTGCCCCTTCCCCATCTCATGTAGGTGCAGGAATCCTCCATATGGTACAAGGTAGCATACCAGGAAATTGTCTTCAAGTAAGTTTGGAACTTTAATTGCAAAACCTACAATGTTTTTTAATGTCCTAACAATTACTTTAAGTGTTAGGTGTGTGATAGCCTGGGTTTTATGATAAAGGATCATATTGGCATGTGTTGGAAGGATGTTTGGAAACTAGACTAAGCAACAAAATAACAGGAGTACAGGGACAGTCTTTGACATCTTCCTAGCACTCATCAGAAGATTTCCAAAGAAAACACAGAAATGTCTTTTCTGAAAGCCTTAGCAGCTGTGTGTGTGACATTTTAAGACTCTGCTCTCTACAGCGGTTTTGTTTTTCCAGCCAAGAAAATGCATCAGGCAGTCAGAGAAATTCAGAGAACTGTATGATTTTAATTAAATCCTTTGATAAAGCTCACAGCTATTTTTTCTTAATAAAGGTTCTAAAGTTTTAAACAAATTCAATAGGTCCCTGAACAGTTAGCATGGAAAATTTGGAGATCAAGTCAATCAATAAGCCAGGAGTTAAAGGGATTTTAGTCCTGCTTTAAATGAAAAAATCTTCGTGCAGTTTGAGCTACACAGTTTGTGTAGAAAGTCTCAGCAATATTGATCTCAAGTGCACACATTTTCCCATGTGAAGGTCACTGATGGACATATATTAAAAAACTTCCATGGAACACAAACCTGCTGACAGTATAAAATATTTTTGATATAGAAAATATGTGCTTTTTACAAAGTTACAATTATTTTAAAAAATTGCTATGAACATGACTGCTAAATATTCTTATTATGACTTTGCTTTAGAGAATTTGAAAGAGGCACTCATAAAGCCTTGATTCCAGAATGGCTGATCTGTGACTATCTCTATAGTAATAACAGCGCTAGTACCATCTCAATAAGAAATAATATGATGACACTTCCAGCAGGATAGTTCTGCATTGATTTACTAACTGTGATCTGAAAGTAGTTTATCTACAGAGTCAGTGCAGCAAATTGAGAAATAACTGCCTTATTTATATGAATATGGTGCATACTTATGAGTATGCTTTTGACGTCTTGTTTCCATAAGAGGGAAGATAAAAAGATGCTGCTAAAGCAAACATCAGAAGTGACAAAAAATTACAAAGTCACTGATAAGATAAAGAGGAAGGTAGCCTTTTTGTGGACTGTCTGATTTTGCCCTCTCAAGGTCAAGCTGACAAGACAGAGATATACACTCAATCCAGAGGATCTGAAACATAAAAAGTGAAGACTCACATTCATCCCAGCTAACTTTGTACACTCAACTGAAGTGCCTAAGTAATACTATTTTTCCTGAGTGGGGGGACACACATCTTCAAAAAGCATTTTCACCTAAGATCTGCATTGTCCTCTACATAATGAGTTACATTGTCCTCTATGTATGATCTGTTTCTCATACACAAGAAATAAAGGATGCCTTCACACTCACTAATCTACTCCAGCCAGTGAGATAACAGGCCATTCCATGCTACAAAATTTGGGAAGAGACAAGATGGCAAAGGCAAAGACCTGGATACAAAAAAGGAAGAAAGAGCTGCCTCCAGAAATTGAAGCAAATAGGCACTGAAAGGTGTGCAAACATGAAAAGAAGGCTACAATCACACACAATCATCAGAATTAGAGATGCAGACATCAATGTTTTTTCCACTATCCGGATTGTAATGTCTCTAACTGAAAGATTGTGTTCATGAAAAAAACTTGTAAGCAGAGAGACAGTGCGAGTCAGGCCCACCTTGCTAATGCAGCTGTGAAGCAAGGATCTATGGCTCTACCCAAAGGGAAGGCCAGAAAGCCAAAAGGGTTGTCACAGCACAAGAAGTTGTCCAAAGCACATAACTTCTGCCTTATAAACATGGCAGACAGCAATTCCAAAGCATTTTCGTAGAGCTTGTTCCCAATATCAAGTGCATCTGCACTTAAGAGAGCTAAGTGCTGAGCTGGTACAAAGCAGTGTAGCTTTGCTGCTTGTAAATGAGCTGTATCATCTTACACAGCTGACTGTCTGCGTGTCCTAACAATTACATTTACAACCGAATGGAAATGTTCTAGCTATAAGTTGCAGCAATTTTCCCCTCAGCTTCCAATCCTGTTTCCTTTATGGTGGTTTGAGCATATTCCCTGAATTAAACATTCTCATTAATAGATATTAAATTAAGTCATGAGCAGAGCTCAAACAGAAAAGAGGCTTATGCACACCAGGAAAAGGATGCAGAAAACAACATAAATATCTGCAATTGTCAGTGAATTAGGTAGGGAGCAGAGAGAGCTCAAAACAGATGTTCGTACTGGCTGCTGACCTGTTAAAAATGCTTCTTTCTGTTATGAAAAACCCTCAGAAGGAACCAAATTGTATTTCATTGCCTTGTCAGATTCCCACAATGTATTCCTTAGGTTATGTGCAGAAGTGCTTTATTTTAGATGCAGATCTGCCTCTTTCAATTACCAGTGCAGACTCCAAAGCATTTTAGCAATGTCATATGTCAATTTAGCTTGCTAAGTTGTCCTAATTGTCTCTTTTTTAACTTCAGTGACAGCAGGAGAAAGATGTTCTTAGCAGTCATAAGTTCTTATGCCTTAGCACTACTAAAGCATCTAGCCAGCTCTTAGATTGAATAAAGATGCAGAAGATTTGATGTTGATGCATAATACCTGTTTTTAATGTGCTGGGGAGAACCAAGACACTTGAAAGTTCCATTGACCATGATAGCAAGCCTTGTGCAGAGAGCTTCACATTCTTCCATACTACAAAATAAATTGAGGGGAAAAAACCAAATAATTAGTAGTGAAAACAGAGAACATTTTTTATACCTAACTTTAGTTAAGTGGAAGAATCTGGACAGATGCCAAAACAGATACACAAAACCTTGGGCTTCAAAGGGTGATAGTCAAAGTTGTAAGCCAAATCAGTATATACCAACAGTTATTACCACATGACAGAGAAAAGAGCCTTAAGCCATTATTTATATTTTTAGTCCATAACTATTTGGACAATTCTGGTCAGAATATAAATGTATCATCATTACTACAGGCAAATACCTCATAAGCACTCTCAGGAATGCCACTGATGGAGTCATGAACTCTGTTCATTCCCTTTAATACGTGTTTATGATTATTCTGAGCTACAGGATAAAGGGAGAAGAATGAAAAGCTTGCCCAGCCTTTCTTTTGCATAGTACATGGCCTTAAAAAAAGTTACCCTTAGCCTGATTGCAGGATAGAAGACAATCCAAAAGACTACAATCTAAACAGAATTTAGGAAATGGAAATGCAACTGAATAGAAAAGCAGGGTTCTCCTAGATGTGACTGCTTCAGATGATAAATAATAGCTTTGACTTGTAAAACTTATGGCAGATGGGTTGCTACCCTACATATTCTGCAGAATTGTGTGAGCAGCTCTTTCAAAGAAGCACTTTAGACATAAAGAACCAGTGATGGATGCACCCATCATCTCAAAGACTCAAAGGTGATTGGTGTTCCTACTATTTGCTGTGTGCCCTCCCCAACCCTTCTGAGACAGCTAAACAAGAGATGCCTTGTGTGCCTCAGCCATGAGCCAGTCCAAATCAAAGTGCTTTGACTGAACGAACATTGGCAATCAAGTACTGCCCTAGGAATAATTTCTTTATAATATGGCAGGGCTGTGGTGAGAACTGCCAAACTGCTCTGTCTGAGAGAGACAAGGAGAGAGCTGCACAAATCAGGAAATTCACTGAATAACCCCTAACTTGGCATAATGCCCCCCAGCTGTGGCAAAATTACACAAATTTAGGGCTCTAGGGACAGTTGAGAAAGCATCACTTCTCCCCAGTTAAAACAGAAGTTTGTCTCAGATTTGTAAGTAAAAAAATTGTCTTGGGATAGTAGGTAAACAGCCCTCAAAACCTGATTTTTACACAGCAAACCCTCTCTATCCCTTACACGTGTATTTGCTGACATGTACAACATGTAAAATTCCTGTACTTATGCAAGTTAATAATCTCAAAGCCCCAATGGCCTTCAGAAAATATTATAAATAGTATAAAATAATTTCTCCCTCCTTTACCCTGGCACAATAATGTGAACAGTAACATTGTACTTATTGCCTGCTTCAAGCCGTTCATTTGTAGAGCTAAATGTGTAGTTAGTACAATTTGATGGATTTTGGTTAATATATATAGTGTATATATGTATACTATATATATAGTATATAATTAGTAAGGAGATCACAGGTCTCTTCTATTTAGCTGGTGTTTGACAGGTTCTTATACTGGGCTAAAAAGTCAAAGCATATTTTTTCCTGAAAATCACTGAGCTGAATTCACAATGCATAGCCCACTTTCTCTAAATGAATGTGCTAGTAAGCGTTTGGCCACCAAACACAGGTACATGAATTTTAAAATTCAGCTTCCATAAATAAAACACTAAAAAATTTTTGGAGAATTTTTCCATCAATAATGGACTGGGACAACAAATACATCTTAAGAATATCTAAAAAATCTGAAAATAAAAAACAGTGGAAGAAGTTGGGCTGCATTCCTTTATTAATTCACCTATACTTCAAATCTCATTTGGTCAAATGCTTCTTTGCCATTCTGATTTTTGAATTTTGTCTTCTCTGGACATATTTTCATGATCTTTCCCTCATCTAAAGAAATTTTATATATAGTTATACATACCATATATATATATAAATATATATGTTACCTAAGGGAACATTTCATTTATTTCATTTCACTATAGAGGTTACAAAACAGTATTGATGTTTCCTCCATTAAACCAATACACCAGTGACCATATCTGAGAACTGACAAGGTATTTAATGTAGATGGACTCTTCTAAGAGGATGGGGTCTCCTACCATTTCCAATAATGCATAGACAATAACTGACCCATCCATCTTCAGGATGCCATGGCTTACTCTTTTCATATACTGATGCAAATCAGAAAATTAATAAAATCAGAAGGTTTTTCACTCATGACACCTTTTGTAATGAGTTTTAAGGTAGCCAAATACAAAAAAGTTACCTGAAATTCCAAGCAAGAAGAGACAATACAACACTGAGTAAAAAGAGCATGGAAAAAAAGGAATTCATTACATCATCTTGCTGTGCCTGCAACCCCTTGAGCAACACTCTATTTTTTTTTTAAATAAATATGAAAAATATTTGGGATTTAAATAGGTTCCTTTTTCATGAATAGGAAGGAATTACCACAAAATTTCAAGAATTAATCTGGGTTTCACAACAGAGTGAGCAGGTCTTCAGAATATACTCCTCTGCAGCACAGGAATATGCTGGCTGCTGGGATAAGGTCTCACCTGTGGGACGTCAGCACAGCTGCACAGCCATCCTGAACTTCCTTCAGGATAGCTTTCCAAAGGTAGCGTTTAGAGCAGGGATCCATTCCAGAGCTGGGCTCATCCTACAGGAAAAATGAAAACTACACAGCAGCATGGAAAAAGCATACCACAGGTTCTGCCCAGCATGAAGAATTAACACAATTCACAATATAATAATATATTTTTCTTTTTAAATGTCACATTTTCAGAGGGCCACTTAAGTGACACCCTGATCAATGTTTTGCTTTAACATATACAATTTAATGTCTAAATTTATGGAAGGCACATTTTAATAAAGAAGTATATATATATATGTATATATAAAAATATTTAAATATAATCTATGTGTATTTATAAATGCTTACCATATATATAAATTTTATACATTATATATGTATAGCTATAAGTATTTATTATCTCTGTTTAATTCTACACATATACTCTTTTTGATAAGAGAGATTTGCAAGTGGTTTTTCTCACTTTCTGGAAGGGTTTGGAGACAGTTTCTGATCTGCATAACATCTGCCATGAGCACAAACAACTGGAGAAGTCCTATAGCTCCCAGATGTCTACACTGCCCATCCCATGTGTTTGATAAGATGTTTGGATTTGACATCTTATTCCAGTTACTCCCACAGCCCTTTTAAGAGGAATTTTCCCCCACAGAGGAGAGAATTCACAGGATTAAATAACATTACCTCAGTGCAAAGAACAGGCAAACCCATTTCCCACGTGGATGGCTTTCATGGAGAAAGACATGATGCTACAAAATCTACATTTCCCCTCCTTATCTATTACTCCTTTCCTCCCTAAATCAAATTTTTTACTTCATCCACTCATGGAAACAAAAAGAATTATATTTGATTGACAAATCCAGTCTCTGTTTCTACAAAACTAGGAAGAAGGAAACTCTTCCAGTTGCTTTTCATGCAGTGGAATTCCATGGGGACTGTCAGCACCTGTTAGAAGACTATGGCTTTGGCCAGAGTATATTCAGCAACGAATCCCAGCTGAAACCTGGAAGCAAAGTTTTCAAGAAACAGAGCAAACAAAACAACCAGTTTGAAGCGAATTTTAGTGCTTCACTACCAATGTCAGAGGTTAAAAAATTCAGTTCAGTCTCCCATTATCTGTGGATTGCTAACAAAGAAAACATAAAAAGCAATAAACATAAAGCAACCTACAATGTTGCTCAAATTAATAGCTATGATCCTGGACGCAATTTAAAAGCAGATTCAGTAGTTTATATTGCTGTCTTTGCTTTCAGACAAAATATTAATAAAAAAACCTGTTTTAACATACTGAAAAACTCCTTTAGCTTTCTAAAGCCAGCAAATGTTTTAAAGAATTTGACGTGTTTAGATATCTTTCTTTCCTCTTTTAATTCCATATGCAACAGTCTGTGCCCTGCAGCAAGAAGTAGGCTGAAATGGATACTTGCAGTAGTACACTGTCATAAAGACATTCAAAACCAGCTGGAGCATTTCCTAAGATCAGGAAAAAAACACTGATTTAAGATAATCTCCTCCTTTTACTAGCTGAACCAGGGTCAGTTAAAGCATAAAATGCAAATAAAATGTCTTCTCTTAGAAGTGAGGCAACAGTAGGAAGTTAGAAGCAACGAAATGTGTCTAATCTTCTGAAACACAGACTTTAGAGAACATCTAGTTTATCTGGTTCACCTGTGGTCTTTTCCTGTAAGTCCAGGAATTTCCCTGAACTCTGAGGAGCAGCTTTCCTGCCTCTGACTGATTTGAAAGGTTTATTACACTGGTTTGGCTCTTCCCAGTCAAGTTTTAAGAAAGCGAGGTTCAATATTCTCTAGTGGAGCAATGGGCAATGGTATGAAAGAGAATGTAGTGCAGTTCTCAAAGCTTTGTAGTTCCCTGATCTTCAATACAGAAGGTATTGTTTACACTGGAGTGGCCAGTGTCAGGCCTAAATGGGCAGTAGCATGAAAGAATCAAAACAACCTGGGATAAGGAATTCAAATTAATATAATTCATAAGTATTGCTTGATTGGGTGACTTGTGGATACAACGAAATGTAAGAACTAGCCAGATTTATGAAATAAATACATCTAGTAAGAATTAGGAGTATCCTGGAAGAACATGGGTCAATTAAACACATATTTGGACCATGGAATACAACAATTGTGTTTGTGTTAAGGGCTTTTTTTTTTCTGTTCACCCAATTGCTCCAAAGAAAAAAAAATAGAAAAAGAAAAACAATTTCACCTTCTATTTTTGTGAGCACCGGAGAATAAAATTAAAGCCATTAATACAGCAGAACAAAGAAGAGGGTTGTTCATCAATTACTCCCCAGATGATCAGGAAAATACCCGATTTTCTTTAGAGCAACATACACGACAACAAAATTCAATGTAGCCCATATTTCATAAGCACAATATTACTTTTACTCACCAGTAGAAGTATTTGGGGTTTACCAACTAAAGCCACAGCAGTAGAGAGCTTCCTTTTTGTGCCAGCGCTGTACGTTCTCACCAATTTATCAGCATGAGAGCTGAGGTGTAACCTGTTAACCAGGTCTTCTGCAACCTGTGGTTTGCAAATTTGAAGGCCAACAAAGATGAGCCAGATTAGATAGCATTTGTGCATAGATTGTTCATGCACGTTAAGAAAATCTACACGTTGTTTCCTTATTTACCCACACTTGCTGCACATTACTACTTTTGAATCTTAAACACAGAGGGCCCTTTGTTCTTCAAAAATGATAAGGATTTTCTCATATAGAAGTCAGGCTTTGGCACTGCTCAGCACAGTCATTTGTATTTGGTTTATGTCCATGGGTTAATGACCTAAAATGTCTCTCATTTCAACTTATTCTCCACTATTTCTTTGATCAAATACCTGAGTAACTGACAATTCAAGGAAAAACGTTCTCCGTCAGCTACAAAAATGATGAAAATATCAGGAAACAAGTCGCAGTTGTGGATTTACAGCTTCTTTAAGACAAAACATAACAGGATTAAATTTGTATAACTTTTCAATAACTGAGAGGCGTAAGTTGATCCTAGCTGGATTGGTTTTAATTGCTTTAACAAGAATTTATGATCAGAGCAAGCTGGGAAGGCATGTGAGCACAGCTGGAGACAAAGCTTATGCTGTCCTCTACGGCCTTTTTCTTTATCCTGTCAGAGACTATCCCGACATACAAGGCTCCCTAAAATACTGGCGCTAGAGAACCTTAAATGTAACAATAATCTTAATCCACCTATATCAGCTACTACTGCTAGACCGTCCACAGAGATATAGCTCAAAACCTTGAGGGACACAGCAGCAACTTTTCTGCTTGCTGATGCCAAATTCACCCTGCAAAGCAGCAGGTGTTTGGCATAGACTCCTGGGGGGGCTGTGTCATTAAGGAGTGATCAACTTTGTAACAGAGAAAGTGTGTCTTCTACCTGTATGTAGGACAGATGGAAGATTTTTGTAAAACAAGGAGTTGCATGCTGCTGTTACTGGCCAGCATTGACTGCCAGAGCAACCCCAGCAGTATGGTTCATTCTCTTTGCTTCCTCTACATAACTTTCAGCAAAAAGCAAGGAGGGACAGGAAAGCTTAATCATCAGATGGACAGTCTCCACTTAATTCAAAATTCCAATTGAAAAAAAATTCAATAAACAATATTGTGAATTAATATTCACTATCCATCATAAACAAACTGCCGCAAGAATAATAATACTTTCTATAGAAGATTTTTATGCAAACACCTTTGGAAATGATCAAGATATTCATGACCCTCTAAGCAAGATTTGTCAAATGATAGTTATAAAAGTAAGAGACATCTGTGAGGGCAAGTTGTCTGTAAGAAGGAACAGTGCTGCAGTGGTGAGAATCTGCAGTATTCTTGTGATGATCCTTGGACTGGTATCCATAGTCACTGTGTTTGGGGTACCTGGATGTATAACCTCACAGCAGTGCATGTTCTCATACAAAAGCCATATTTCACAAATATTGCTCTGTCTACATGAGATGCAGAGAGGTTTTGTTTTTTGGGTTTTTTTTTTTAATTATAACAACTGTTAAACTAGCCATAGGTAATATTATCCTGAAAAGCTCAAGGTTTCTGCTGTATCAAAGTTAATTCACAGTAATTTACATCCAATTAGAGGTTATAGTTGTGGCTTTAAAAATGGCTAATCACCTAAGTTATATTCTAAGATAAAATAGTTGAGCTTTGTTCTGTTATGTGTTTTTTCACTTCCAAATACAGGTCTCATTATACACCAAAGCAACACACAAAGTGAAGCGTTCTAAAGCATGTGGTAGACAACTTATCCTGTCTACAAAACTGACTTGACTGCTACTATTGGGAATGCATGAATGTTAGTGACTAAACGATTATCCTCCTACATATTCACCAACAGTCACACAAATTACACAGAAGATCTCATGAGAATTTAAGACCAGAAAGTGAAAAAACTTGCAACCCCATATTTACACCAAATATACTTTTTAACTACAACAAGCTTCAGGAGTAATTAAAGAATAATCAAGAGAGGACCATGCATAACAGCTGAAACGTAGTCAAAACTATTCTTTAGCTATGACTAGAACCATTCTTTCTAAGACTGCTTTGAAGTATCATCTAAAGTCAGCAAAATGGCTTTTTTTTTTTTTTTAAGAGATGATGAATGCTGCACGGAGAAGAATTTAGAAGGTCAAGGAATAGTGCCAGGGAGAAGAAAGTAACTATTTAAGTTAGATGGGTCTTCTTGTAGTCTGTAGCCCCCAAGGAGGCTCAGTCATGTCAGGTATGAACATAAAGTTCTTTGTGAGGAGCAAAATTAAAAAGAACTAATTTTGCAAAATTTGTAATTCCTCACAATGAATTCTCCTCTTTTGTGTGTGCTCAAACATTTAGCATGACTCCATGATCTCCTTTTTCATACAAGGAGATAAAGCCTGGCAAGCTTCCTGCTATAGAAATTTTCAAGACAAGGTTAAAAATCTAAATAGGTAAAAGGAGAGGGGTGGGAATAATTTCCTAGTACCCACTTTGCTGCTGCTTTAAATGTGAAGAGCTTCCAAGATAAACCTTGCAGATCATCATAGTGCACAGCACAATCTGACCTGATATCTAGATACGCTCCTTTGGTACAAAACATTTCAAATTAGAATTGCTTTAGAACTGAATGACATCAGCAACAAAAAGGCAGAAGGAAGGGTCAACTTTCTTATTCCTAAATATTTCCCAGTTTCACCTAAAAAAGTCTCCTATTCCTGCTACCTCCCTCAAATCTTATATTTCAAAAGAGCACTGCAGACTATGGTTCAGCAAATATAAGAATATAGAGCCCAATCTTCTTTCAAGAGATGACTCCAAGACACTTTTCTTTAATGCATATTTTAAGATTTCCAGTAATTTTTCAGCTTCATCAATAATACCTAAGCAGCAACAAAATACTAATTTGAATGAAATTAGAAATATTACATATTAGCTATATTGTAGAGGAGCCCAAATATCTCCATTATAACTTCATTTGTCTGCATAGCCAGTGGTTTTTATCACAGTGAAATAAATATGAAAAATCCCTCTTAAACTACTTTAAATGAAAGTCAGAATTGAGCATGTGATCAATCTTCAGATACAGATACACATATTTATGCAAAAGAATTATGGTTCTAATGATTTCCTTCTTAGTGAATGTCAGACATATACACAAGCACCTTCCCTCCCTCCTTGTCATATTCACCATGATGCTCTATTAGAATAATATTTCATTGACCTTTAGCCACAAAGAGTGAGGAAATACATCAATTTACTTAGTAAGCTGGCAACATTAAGGCCAAATCAAAAGCTACAGAGTTATATACAAATATATACATTGTAAGCACACTTGAACCATTAAAATGTTTAATGTCTATTCATGACTGTAATAATGTATTTAAACTGTTTCCTTCCTTCCTTCCTCCCCACACCAGCAGTAAAAATTATAACAGATTCACATCTATCAGCTAGCAATTTCCCTATTTTCCAATATTTCTTAAAACAATTTCCTCTTTTTTCTCATCAGTTCTAATATATTTAGCAAAATATTTCCCCCCAAATTAATTTGGGCTAGTCCACCTAGCTTTAGAACAGGCATTGGAATGATCCCTTCAATCTGTAGCATCTAAACAAAATCCCCCAATACTTTGTGGAGTTCCTCAAGACAACATTCATTCCAGAAGAGGCAATAAGATAACTTTTTGCACACATGCCAATATCTGTGGGAGTAAAGGTCAAAACAGCATGGCCTCCTCCATCCACCAGATCCACCAGGGAATTAAGAGATCCATTCCACTGAAAAGAGTAATTGTGTAACCACTAATGCCTGCGGGTTTCCACTCTCTTTAAAAATTACGTCCAATAGTCAAGTAAAAAATTAAGTGGTGCTAAGCACTTTCAGTCTGTATGTGTTCCAGAAAAACCTGGAGTTATTAATCTATTGAAAGACTAGAATCAATCTATTGAAAGACTAGAAACATCACGGTTTCTAGTTAACATCATAGCTTGAAAAGCTATATCCATCAGTGTATTAGTTTTTATCATTCCTGACACAATAAATAAAATGCATAACTTTTTGCTATTTATTTAAACAAATGCTCGTAAAGCAAATCTGACCCAATATTGAAAATGTGTATCATACCCAGTATAAATGATAATAAACATGGACTGAATTCTAGACTCATCTGAAAAATAACTTTACATGTCCAAAGCAGTAATTCAAAGTGTCAGGTTCTCAGTAAGGGGATACAGCGTGGTTTGAACATCCTAAACAGCAACCATTCATCAATTCCACACAAAACAGTATTTTTTTGGCTTTCAAGTAAACTCAGAATTGTTAGATTTCTTACATTTGGAAACTGAATATCCATGGTCAAGTTTCTGGGGAACAGTATTTTTTATCCCTAAATCTCATAAAACTGTACACACTAATTCTCCTTGGGGTCCAAAAATAAGTAAACATACAAAGAATATATGAATTTACAGATTCCCATTTCCAGCACCTATAGAATATGACATGTAAGGAAATCATTGAGATTCTAGAATCAGAGCAAAATCTTCCTGGAGAGTTAATGAAAAGAGAAAGCATACTCCAAAAAAAGTTACCTCAGAAGACCTGATAAATCTTCTTTAGAGATTTGCAACAGAAGTTTTAATGCTAATGAGGATTGCCATTTGATGCTATGCTAATAATTTTAATTTTTTAACAAGCTGAGTGCTGCTGTATTTTGGAACAAATAGAGATCTAGGAAGTTAATATATTAAAGAAATAAAAATTAAAAATACTATGATTAATCAATATCCTTCTAAATAACCTAAAAGCTTTACTCTAATTTTTTCAATTTTAAACAAAAAGAATCTTCAGAGTAGGTTTGTGAAATATAAAAAAACCTCACATTACATGTGAAGCTTAACACTGGTAGTAAATGTCCCATTTTTCTCCTCCTTTCCCATTCATTTAATTACTGTTTTGGAACATTAAGTGCACTCAATTTTATGTCAGGCACTTAACTCCTGCTGCTGATAAATTTGTCTAGCAAAGGATTTGGTCCTTGAAGTTAGTGCTTCAATAGACAACTTCAGCTGCAACACAACCTGTGAGTCACCTGCCTGCTCACCAATTTCTTAAAAACCAAAGTGAATATATGTTTCTTTCATTATCAAACCAATGTACTCTCTAGAATCTATGTGTCTGTGCATATTAGTGTAATTAGTCACTGGCAAATATTCAGAGGCAGGCTTGGAGTGCTGTGTCATAGGCAGGAGGGAATGATGAGAAAATAACAGCTTACGTTTCCATGCAGCTGCTCCTCTAAAGCATTCCAAAGCCCTATTTTCTTTATAGGCAGCTAAAATGCTCACTTTCTCCAGGCACCAGCCATTTCTGAGTGGAAGAACAGCAGCTGTTGAGCACTTGACAGCCATGCCACACAGTCAGGAGGGTCCACTGACAAAAACATTTGTTTTCCTCTGAGATAGCTGCATTTCAGTTTTTGGTGGAGGAAAACCAGAGCAGCTAAATATTATTTGCAGGAGCGCTTCGATGCCTTGATCGCAAGCATATGGCAACAAAATCTGCTCTGCAATACATGCAGACAAAAAATTAAGACAACTGAAAAGAAGATGATCTTTCTTTCACAAATGTGATGCTAAGGCACAGAAGACTGACTACAAAGAATAGTCTAAGCCTACACCTAGATCATCTGAGGTCCAGTAAGGTTAATGTTTGTCTTCTCTCAGTGCACACAGTAACATAACTCATATCTAAATGAATGATTTTCATCAATTTGAAGAGGGATGTGTATGTCATGTACAATGCCACTTGAGGAACTCTTGCCTAACTGCTATGGAGGAAATGACACTTCATGGAGAAAACAGGTAATTAATTATAGTTGAGGGCTGTAGTGCAATAACAACTATCCTTTAATATATTTCTTTTAGATCAAAGGAAAGATATGAAAGTTTTCAATACTCTGCTAGTAGTCTGAAGTAAAAATTAACACAAATAAGTTATGAAGGGCAAACAATCAAACAAAAGACTGTATGATAATTTCTGAGCAGTATGCAAGTAATGTGTTGGTAAAACATGTAAAAGTCCAGGCATTGTCCTGGACAATGGATACTGCTGAAGACAAGGGGCAAAGACTTGCAAGAATAATTTATTTTCCCCAGGCTTTCATCCAGAAATACCCAAATTATCAGCTTAAAACAGTAAAAACTCAAAATATTGCCTGTCCTGATGAATACTCAATATCCCTTACAGGGATCATACATTTTTTCTGAAATAGCACCTTTCTGCTAAGGAAAATGAAAACAGGCTGCAGAGAACCAGAAAGAAGCCTTCTCACATACAGTCAAGGAACTGGTTGCAAGCCACTTATTAGACCCTGAGGCAACAGCCAGAAAAACACTGGGTAGTAGGAAAAAAAAAAAAAAAAGCTCTTTCAGTTCATGCAATTTTGCTTCTGGAAAAATGAAAAGAAAACAACAGTCAGTATTCTGGAGGTTACAAGGGCAGTGCTAGTGCAATAGCTACTACTTGGGACCAATTTATAGAGCAGGAATTGAAAGATACCGATTTCATGTCACACTACAGTTTTCTCATGTTAATAGAGACGTAATTAAGCAGAAAAGACTGAGCAGCTCAAGTCAGGTCATATTGTAAAATTCCATCTGCTGATACAGAAAAACCCATATTTTACACTCTATCTGTTTCATACTTAATTTCTGATATCAGCTGACTTGTTGCCTCATTACAGAAAAAAGTTCAACCTGCTGATCAGCACAGCTACACCTGTATCTGTAAATCCAAGAGCTCCCAGTGATATTGCCAAATATTGTCAATTTCTATGCTAGTAAGCTCTCATTTTCTTTGGCTTCTTCTGCTTGGACAACCCAAGCTTTGTGTGGTAGGTGGAGCATTTAAGAGACTGCTCCTATCTTGTGAAGTTTAAGACAGCTCCTATCCCAGCACCCAGGTGTTTCATTTATTTATACAGAATCATACGACAATTTTTAGTTCCTTCAAAGTTAGATTATATCTCTGAACAAAAGAGTTTTTCAGAGGTACAAGACTCAAAGTGTGGTGTTCTCTCACAGTTCTTCATGTGTGATAGTGAACACATCGAAGCATTCATAAATTTAATTTCTTTTAGGAGTTTTGTGCCCGAGATTTCATTTGCAATAGTTATTTTACTATCTGCAGTGATGTTATTGTGTTTTGAATTGGCATAACTGAGAAAAAAATCCACATTATTTAAATAAAATTTTGGTAATGAAAAACCTTATTACTAAAGCTGTTAAGATGAAATATTAGATAGTTTCTCATGTTCAAAAGGTACAATTGTTCTATAAACTCCACAGACTAGCCAGGCAATATCTCCCCCTGCCAATCTGTTCTGGATAGTTACCTTATGGATATCCTGCTTTGGAATTCCACGCAGTGTGCAGTAATAATAAAGATGCTCCCAACCTGTTAAAAGTTCATCCAGAGCATCTTGTTGTGGACAATATCCAATAAGAATACCTTCAGAGCTAGCAGAGAGTATATCCATTTCAGACCTGTTTAAAGAAAAAGAAAAATATTTGAATGTTTAACAAATCCCACGGCCCGGGCTTCCACACTTGGGATACAAGACAAACACACATAACCTCAAGTCTGCAGACAAAGGAGTTAGAGTCTCTGCTGCAGTTACTTAGTGCAGCACCACCCACACACAATGCACACATTTTGTCCCTTTTGGGCTAGCACAGCCACCAGCATGTCACTGTTGTGACAGTGTGTGGGTCAAGGTCAACAGACCAACACATGAAGAAGAAACATCTATTAGAATTAATACTCACCAGTTTTAATTCTCTTATCTTTTTGGTAGTACCTGCTCCAAAGAGACACATTTCAAACCATACATTGCTCATACTGGATATTATACTATATACAATATTATATTTGTATCAATCTCATTGAATATTGAAGAGGAAGGACTCGAGAGAGAGGGAAATTTTACTGAGTATTCTTTGTGTGTCTGTGACCACATATACACATGCGTGCAGTCTCTAAACAACAAGAGTAAAACAAAACACAGGATATTAAAGCCTAGTAACTTAAAAGACAATACAGGAAAAAGTATAAAATTATCCTGATTTAAGAGACTTTGGCCTTTACTTTGTAGCTGTACAGCATTACTTGAAATTACATTTATTGCTAAAAAGCGAGCTTGATTGCAAGGGTGTCTCATTACCCATAATGACACTAAATCTATCCTATTTATTCCAACATCTAATTCAACACTCAGTGATGCTGATTTACATGTAGAGAAAGACCTATCAAAACGAAGATACTTAATAATAAAAAAATCTGAGCTTTGAAAGAAAAAAGTTTTCAAAAGATTCTGAGTAACAGAATGCTTTTCCTCCTAGTGGTTTTCTACATTTCTGATTGAAAGAACTAAATATATGATTAATCATTTAGACACAAAGTAAATGTGTTAACTGCAGGATCTACAAATACTAGCACTAGTGAAAATATAAATATGTATCTCCTGTTAACAAGATTCAAGAGTCTGGGGAGAAAAAAAATCTGCATTTTACATAATGAACCACAGCATGAAAATATATTTTAATGCTATCAAAAGATAAATTAACATGATTATGACAAACCTTGCCATAGACTAATTAAAATGGTCCTTTGCTGTTAATGGCAAAACTATAAAATAATGATATCTTGGCTGGTTTGGCTGGTGCTACGCAAGTTATCTGCCTGTAGACACCTCTTTAAATAAAGAGGTACCAAAAAATAGAAGGGGAAGAGGACAACAAAATATTCCTCATTAATTTATATCCACTTATAGGACATTTTCAATGAAATATATACAGAATTTTTTGCTGTCTCAGTTTCCAACCATACATATGGCAAATTAAACCTTTTTTCTATAGTCATCTTTACCACAAGATATGGATTGAATAATCCTGATCTTTTTATACAACCAGTCAGAAGCAGTGGATTCCTTATTTAATTACTTCTATCACAGCAAAATACTAATCACAGTTAACTAGATGCTGTTGGACATAGAGAGATGTGTCTGAGGTTTGTTTTGCTAGGAAGATTCATGCACAGGGTATTCTTTTGGTGCAGCTGTTGTCTTTTGAGAAAAAAGAGACTGAGCTTTTGATAATATGCCAAGTTCAGCCAGAAGAGAACAAATCACACTCAGGGGTAATTTCAGGGACATTTACTCAGCATGAGCCCTGTAGCTGGATAGAAACACCTTGTCTGCAATGGGCCCCTACCATGAAGAACAAAAAGTTAAATATGGACAGCTGCAAAAAAAAAAACAACAGACATCTATTGTTCTTTAGTAGAACTATATTAGAGCATCCTTACTCAGTTTGCATCAGGAAATAAAAAGTGTCGTTGGTGTTAATTGTACACACAGGATTCTAGTGCTCTGCCTATGTAGAGCACTCAGTCTTAGGTGAACAGTATCCCAGCCACTGACCTTTAGCTTTCATAAAGTGAGGGCAAAGTGAGAATGCATCATTTAAAATTCTTGCTCAGTTTGGTCCCTTATCTTGCCACTTTATCCATTAGTGCTGACCTGAACACTTCAAGATTTCCCATTAACACTGAGATTCTACTGTATTCACTAAAAAACTCATGGACCTTTCCACCTCACTCCTCCCTCTCATCTCTGTATCTGTCAAATCAAAAACAATCCAACCAGAAGACCAAAAAAAAAAAAAAGCCATACTAGGATACTTTATTTTTGTTAATGTGCAGTATAATGCCTTGTCTTCCCTGATCAACATCACAGAGGAGATTTGAAAATCAAAATTCTGGATATTATCATTCTGTTTTGTTTAGCCAGATCCTAAGGTTTTTTTGAAGATATAAACAATATAAATAAAAAATAGAGGAAAAAAAAACACATTATCATTTTTAATTATAGTAGTAACAAGCTCCTGTGTTAGGAAATTGCTTTTCCTTGAAATTCAGTTAATCTCTCAGATTTCATTTTTATGGGTCTAAATTAAATGAACATTTCAAGAAGTGATGGCTTGATACCAGAAAATCTTCTCAGTAAATAATATACTGTAAATATCTTTCTTTTTTTTTTTTTAATTTCTGATTCAATTCATTAAACTAATTATAATCCTGTTCTTTCTTAACAAACATCATCATATATGCTATTATCAGAATCAGATTCAAAATATATTTTTTAGTATTTTCTGAATTATAGATTAGCATGCAGCAAAATGCTGACTTTATTCTCAAGCTAGAGTAAAACAGCCATTTGTTTTCTGCCCTGTTATTATCAGGATGCCATAATTTTTCACTAGACTATTCACATTAAAAACAAGACATACAGGAGGAAAAAATCAGCTCATTTTATAAACAGAGAGAAAGAACATGTAAGTATGGATTCCAACCCCTCTCAGGCTTTTGTCATAATACAGTAGACACAATGAAATCTAGTGTAATATCTAAAACTATAGTGAGTAAAACACTTTTACACTAAGCTTTTACATGAATACACAACTTCCTATATCTTCATAATAACAGAGTACCTGTTATCTTTAAATTCTGTTAGCAATTTTGATTACATCATCTGATCAAGTTAAGATATAAAGCATATTTTCTCCTTCATTTTTGCCCTTCATTTTTAGACTTCGTCCTTATGCTCAGTCAATACTTCCTCTCATTAGTTAAGTTTTCCTTTAGAGTGAACAGCTGCAACAAATTACATCACCAGAATATTTCCAGAAATCTTCATATTTTAAATATAGTTTTAAAGTTGCAGAATTGCATTTCTAGACCTCCTTTAGAAATGGTCAACAGAACATCTGGCATCCTCAAGAAAAACAGCGGAGTCTAGCACTTGAAGCATGCAGGATTTTTTATTCTATCACTGTCTAAGTATTTTGGTGAGAATCATGATATTTTGGTGCAAGACATCCTGAGAAAATATCCCGGACTTAATAAGACTTTCCTCACTATGGAGTGTTCACCTTGTAGGTTTGTACTATTGAAGAAAGAAACTTGCCAGATTTTCAAGATACTGGGATCATAAACCAAAATCAGAGTGTAGAAAATTTTAGATTCAAAGTTATTCCTCCACTGACCATTACAAGACTTTTTACATTGATCTATTTATTCTGTGCTTAAAGAAAGCCCTGCAATCTGTATACAGACTACATGAGGGTGGCAAGGGGCACTCTGGTCAGAAAGCATTTGCTGACACTGAAAAGAGACATAACCACTGGGATGAGTGAATATGATCTTGGACAAAACCTGTTTTCTTCTCCTGTATAAACAGGACCTGCAGTTTCCAGAAAGCCAGAGTAGCTATTGCAGAACAAGATTTGGATCTTGTTTTTTACAATGGTTACTACCAACATTGCCTATAGGTGGTTACTGGCTGTAATTCAAAGGTAAGCCTCAGTGTTGGGTTTCCAGGGACAACTTAGTACCCCTGATTTCAGTCTTATGGCTGGCTTTGGAAAAATTGTTTCACTTTTGGCTATGCTGTGCACTGTTTCACTTTTATATGCTTTTTCTGCAGTTTTTCAATGCAATTAAAAGCAGTGATATATGTGGTACTTACAATACCATATATATATATATATTTATATATATATATATATATCTTCTTCTACAGAGAGATAGATTCCATTAATTAGTCAAAATGAAATATAAATTTACAAATTGCAAAAGTACTGAGACATTTCATTGTACTCATAACTGCACATTCAATTCAGTGCATACTAATGCTCTCAATTAACATTACAAAAAATCAATGTTAAAATATAATTAATGTAACTATAGCTTCATTATAATTAGACTAATTATACTGATATACAGTGTAAAAACAGCCATTTCAGCCATTATATTTATGTAAATTTATTCTTCCTTTCAAGTTAAGCTATTTGAACTACATTTTAATTATTTATCAAGCTGAATATCATACCTATCAAAAGAGTAGAAGTCCTAGCTATAAAGAAATATTTTACTTTTCCCTCTTTGTAGAGCAGTTCTTTGGTCCTATGGCTTTGTAATCCAACAGCTGAGATGACTGACACAATTCAAATAGGATAGGGAATTACAGTCATGGAGGATCTCTGTGCAGAAGGAAGATGGAAATTCATGGGAGATAAAATAATTACATGAGGAAGGCTGCCAAATGCTTCAGTCCTTGATGGGGCAACTTATGAACATGATATTACCTGGTTCATCTATTTTTTTTGCATATGCATCCCACTGCACTCTAAGTATGAACTTAAAGTCACCTCTATTCAGCAAAGTACAACAGAAAAGATTGCAAAATAGAGGGCACCAAAAAGACAAAAAAACCACCAGTCACATTATTCATTATTTTACATTGACATTGCCATGACACTTAAAAGGATTTTGATACTTTCTCTCTGACACTTTTTCTTCAAAGCTGTGTTTAGTGCTCTTAACTTTAGAGACGTTTTATGACACAGTCACAAAGGAGGGTTTATACACAAGTATAGAAAGGGAAAGAAAACAAAGCTTGGCCAAAGTACACACAAACACAAAAAAGTGGAACAGATGTACAGTATCTGCTGATGCATTAGCCCAGCAGACATTCAAAGACTATGAAGACTCACTTTGTTCTCCTTTGTTATACCACTTTGTTAAGTGTCAGATTTTCTTTGTACATATTTAATGCAGACCTTACTTCTTCAAGCTGTTTGACAGAAAAAGTAACTACAAAAATGTTTACAGTTTCATTCACTACCTTTCATTTAGACAGCTCCCACACTGGTGGCAATCTAGTTATGGCAGTAGAGCCAAGCATGAGATAATTTTAGTCCATTTTTACTCTTGTAGAACAACAGCTGTGCTACAGAGAGCACAAAGAACTCTTCTAATTGTCAAGCAGATCATGCAGTTAATTATTAAACATATTTAAGCTTTGCAACTCTTTAAAAGCCTGTCAGTCTCTTAACATCTTATAAAACCATACTTTTTAAATACAAGTAAACATACCTTATTCAAATAGTCTACTTTCTAGCAATTATTGGTTTTGCTTTTGATATTTCTGCCCTTTACGAAAGGTACTCCTGCTACTTTGCTATCATTATTTTGCTTCCAAGCCTTCTGAAGTAACTGTTTCAATGCTGCTTGTTTCTTTGTCACTCTTCAATACTGAGATACAAATATCCCTAATATGAAGACACACTTTCTAGAAGCTAAAAAGAAACTTTACAGTTTCTTTTGCACAGACATGTCACTGATAACAGTGATATTAATGAGCTACACAAAACAATAAAACTAAAATCCCCTGTGAATGGCATTATCTTCACATGATTGTCTGGGTCTGGTGATCAATTCCTATTACTTCTCTGACTGGACTATTTTAATCACATAACAGTAATAACTAGAAAGGTTATATAAATTTCCTAAAACATTTTCTGCTGAGGGACATGAAAATTTAAAGAAAACAGGTTTTTTGTAGACTGCTCAGCTTGTATACTATAAATGTACATTGGTCACACAAATTGTGAGATACACAGCTCAGGCACACAGTGCATTTAAAATATCTACTTAATTTATAGTGTGTCAAAAAGAGAAAACCCCAATTAAAACAGATCAGAAGCCTTCCCTCCCCCAAAATCATTTCCCCACCAAAGAAGTCTTGTAAAAACCAATTTGCAGAGAAGATGAAGTTGGCTTTAGTATTTCACAAATATTCCCACTTAATGACACCCTGACTTATGAATCCCAGTGATACTGAAAACTAACATACATAATACCTATCTTCTATGGATTTTATTAGCATTTGTTACGAAAACAGACATAGATCTCTCTCAGATTCTTAGGAATGAGCTCTTTTTTTTGGTGGTATTAAGCATTCAGCAAACAACCAACCTAGAGGAGAACAAGTCTTTTAAAAGTACTTGAAGGTGTTGTGAATCTGCTTTTTTACACTCTGTTAAAAAGCAAGTTACTTCCCAGAAGCATATTTTTAAAATTTCTTTGAGACTATAGCAGAAGTTCCTTGAATACAAGTTTATTATTGGTGTGTGAGGCTCTTTCGCTATAAACCCCTGCACTTCCAAGATGTTTTAGGTCAACCTTTTAAAAATTCTACTTTGTGTTCAACTTATACCTTTGAAAAATCCCATCTTTCATTTCTAGAATTCATGTTGTTCCAAGGTGCAACTGCTATCTAATAAAATTCAAGGTCATTATCAGTGCACTTACCTCAAAAAGGCACTCATTTCAAATTCAGTATCAAGCAGGAAAATGAATACATTTATTTGTTTGGTTTTTTGTTTGATTTCTTTGTTTTTTAATTTGTTTTTAAACCAAAAACTTTGAAGCATAGTTATTCAAGGAAATGGAATCTGTTATGAATTACGGATGTTCTGCATAGAATAAAATTATTTAGGTTCTCCAATGTTTATAATGGTAACTTTACATATTCACTTAATTATTTGATCATGAAGAGTACATCATCAATGTAGGGTTAGATTGGATATTAGGAAGAAATTCTTTACTATGATGGTGGTGAGCCACGGGAACAGGTTGCCCTGAGAAGCCATAGATGCCACATCCCTGGAAGTGTTCAAGGTTAGATGTAGCTTTGATTAAGCTAATGGAAAGTGTCCCTGCCCATGGAGGGGGGTTGGAACTATATGACCTTAAAGGTCCCTTCCAACCCAAACCATTTCATGGTTCAGTGAAGATCCTTGCATCAGACTACAGTATCTTGTCCTTTCACAGTGACAGAGGGCAAAAGATGTGTTTTTTCCAGCCAAACCCAAAAGAGGTGGGATCTACATCTAAGCAGCATTATTCATCAGGACTAGGTATCAGAGATAATGTTTTTGTGAAATCTCCTTCATGAGGTAAGTTTTAAGCAAAAAAATCTAATTCTGCTGACCAAGAAATATTCTGCGGCTGTGATCAGCAGCTGCTTTCCTCTGCTGACTGTGGTCTCTGTGCCAGGAACACCAGGCTTCTGAGTACACTACCGGAGTAAGAAAAGGAGAAGCCTTCTTACCATACCTTCCTTTGTTTATTTGAGTCATAAATGAAAATAAATCCACCTAAAATTCCCTGAAATTAGTTATTTTAATCATTCTTAGCTGCTGAGGAATGGCTCTCCTGTTGTGCTTACCATCTCACCTCTGGAAGAGCCAGCAAACTTGCCTCTTAGTGATTTTCAGGAGGTCAGCAACACAATGCACCATGATCCGCTCAACAGCAGTTTCCAAAATAATGAAGCAAGGAACAAAGTCAGGAGGGACATAAATTTCTTCTCACAGCCTCAAATTGTTTGTTTCTCTAAGTTTAGCTACTGTATAATAGCAGCTCTAACTTAAGGTTGCCTTCTTGAATTAGCGGTAAGTTTTGAAATCTTGGGAATATGGGATTTACACTCACTTCAGTCTCTGCAAACACAAAATATTCATAAACTCGATTGACACTACCATAGTACAAGGTGATAATTAATGTTGTCAAGGGTATTTTGTACACTGAAATTCAATTGTCTAAGGCTTTCTCTCAAACCTCCTAAATGTGTCAAATTTCATTACCTATATTTTAGTATATGGTAAATAACATTGCATCTTAATATATGCTTTCATGTTGGATTTATAAAACACAGTATGAGAAATGAAAGTGACACACACACTGTCCAGGGACAGCATTTAGCCTCTTGTCAAAAGCCAGTAGCTGGCTAGTTGACCTCAGAAGCATTTTTAGCCATTTAACCACAGGTACATAGCAACACAAGACAAGTCCCATTAAAATCTACAACGAAATGCTGTTCAGAATCAAAACAAAAAGCGGGAGCTTAAATGTCCTGATGCTCTAATGGTGATATTTTATTCTCAAAAAAAATATATTACGGATAATTTTATTTCCCCAAATCTCAAATCCTCTTCAGACATGTGCTGTAAACTTCTGACTTCCATCATATCCTGCATCAGGAGGTGCAATGCCATCCATCAGTTCCAAAGAATAACAAATGTTGATTTTTATCCAATTTTAAATCACTTTGGTTATTTTTAATTTTGATCAATATCTGAAAAATTTTTTCTTCTGTTTAAATCAGAAAATTATACTAAAAAAAGTCTGGAAAATTATAAGTGAAAACAACCATCTAAAAGTCTCGCTAACCATTTTAAAGCCTCACTCACACCACTTTTCTTAAGAAAAATTTTTCTAAAATCTGTTTCTTTAATATTTTTTTTAAAAATAATTTCTGCTTTATGACCAATATTTTTATGATTTGCTATGAAAGATAATGAGAAAACATCTTGAAGCAAAATTATTTTTGATATTGATGATATTGTCCATTTTAAAAGTGCAAATTTTCCAGAAAACTGAATTTTGCAATGACTGAAGCTACTTACCTTTGAAGTTAGATCTGATGATCATTATCTTTGTAAAGAAGTAAGGAAACACTGACCTATGAAAGCATTTGATTTCTAAACCAAAGAAATGTAACTTGCAATTTTGAAAAATCAAAAATATTTCCTTTAAAAAATTCTCAATGAAACTCTTGACCTGTCCTTGTCCAAAAAATATTTTGAAATGTACATCAATTAGGAAAAGAAAAGAGCCCAAAATCAATTTACCTATGTGTATACACATATTTGCTACTCACTGAAAAAAAACCAACTTTCTTTCCCCTCCAATTTTGCTGGCGAAAATGAAAATTATTGGTTACATCTAACCCAAAGTCCATTATTCATTTATCAGTCCAACAGAATGATAAATCTCACCAACACTATCTCTTATCCTTATACAGAGAATATTGATCAAGTAATTAATTAATGACTCTGAAGTACATTAGTGTAAGAAAATATTTTATAATTACACTCTTGAAGCACTGCTCACCTACCTAAGCCAGGAAAATTCTCAGCGCAGAACTTGTAGAGGGATATATGTCCATGCATTTTAACCTATGTTAGGATTCTTTTAAAAGTTTTAAAAGGATGTATATTAAGTCTTAGAGTTTCTCTTTTGCTACCAGACAAGTATATTTTCAATTAACAGAGCTGTCAAACAGAATTAAATAATGCTAAAAAGCTTTTCCACAGAGACTTAACAGCAACAAAGCAATATACATTTAAAAGGGAACAAAATAAGTCCCTAGAGTACAGTATAAAAGACTGAAGACATGCTGAGTCTTTGATCATGTGCATTATCAATTAGCACTATTCTGATCAAACCCTGCTTATTTACCCAGTAGGAGTCCTGATAACAGCACGTCCTGCAGATGGGATGATATCTCCAGTCAGCATCTTAAATGTTGTGCTTTTCCCAGCTCCATTTGTTCCCAGGAGTCCAAAACACTATCAGAGATATTGGGGGGAAAAAAAATCAATATGCTATACTGAAAAAATAAGAAATATCACCACTTTAAATTTCTCCCCTTTCCATATTTCTCATTATATATCTGTAAGAAACTATATATGGATATAATGTGTGTGCAAATTCCCTTTCCCACAGAGAATCAGTTTTTAAAAACCCTATATATATAATATTTTGATTCCCCCTTAATTACCAGAAGTGACTTATTTAGGATTCTGGCCCTCCTCTTAAAACCCTGCCCAACAATCAAACCCATTATTTATCCATATTGTTAGCAAATGCTAACTGAACATTTGAACAGGAGGATTTTATGTCCTGCTCCCAAACCTTGGATATCAGTCCATAGAGTGAATATTTCCAAGCCTGTCATGAGCTGCTTCACTCTGTACACGTGGACACCAAACATCAAAGAGGCACACTCATTTTGAACACTTATTTCAGACCCTTAGCTGCAATAGCTTAATGCTTAAGCTAGGCTAGGATTCATATTTAGTCTACAAATAGCCCTTTATGATATCTAAACACTTTTTTCATGAACTTTCTCATTGATTTATAGGCTTTAATCAACAATAACATCCTCCTGGTTACCTCAGTTACCCAACAGCTGATCAGTAAGTAGCAGGAAGATCACTGCACCTGTGCTGCCATGTGCAAGATGATCTTCCAATTTCTTCCAATTTTATATTAGCAACCAAGAAAAGTATTTTCTTTCTCAGTAGTTTAGAAATTAATATCTGTAATTCCCCAAACCATCCAAATAATTAATAAAGCCCCCAAACACAAACATGCTCAGCACTAAATCTTGATTTATTGAAATAGTTTATTGGTATATGCTATATTCAAATGTACTGTGATGATTTCAGCATGGGAACCAAAAACGTGCTGTGGTAACAAATTCAGGATGCAGTTCACAGTTTGCTATTGAGTTGGGTATTCTGTTTCCTCTTTGAACGCGAAACTGCTATGCTACCTTACATGTTTTTTATGTTAGCCTAAAGTACAATAATTTGGTATAGATGAGCAAGAAGTAAAAAAAAAAATTAAGACTGATGAATGTTTCACCAAAAAAAAAAAAAAAAAGGAACAGTTGCTTCTTCAGCAGAGAAGAGTTTCTGCTTTTATCCAGTTATTGATTTTCAGAAGTTACTACAACTGAATTTTTTATGCCACTATCTACAGGTCTTTCACTGTAGACACACTGAGTATGTCTCAACAATTGCTCAGAATAAAGTGTTACTTTATAAAAGGGGAAAAAGAAAGACCCCTTTACCTCTCCCCTTGGTATGCCCAAGCTTATGTTTTCCACAGCTGTGTTCTTCTTACTGAAACCTCCATAACACTTCCTGAGGTTGTACAGAAGTAGGACATCATTACCAGTTCTTCCACCAAAGAGTCTCTGTCGCTCCATTTCTACATCAACATCTTCTGAAGCGCTGTCTGTGCTGTTAACTGAGCAATTACCCCTACAACAGAGGATGATACTAAGTGATACAAGGAAAATTGGTCATAATTTGCTGTGCTCTGCATAACTCTTATTTTCCCGGTTGTAATCCCTTAGCACATGGTGATCAATTCTCATGAGAACTCAAGGGAAAAACAACTACTTGTATTTTTTTCTGAAGTTTGCATTAATTCAGGTACACTATGTTACCAGAAGTATTTATCTTCCGTTGTTCAAAGGAACACACCATCTTCTTTCTCCGAAAATTAGTTCAGTGCCCACTGTGGCAGAATACAAATGATAACAAACCTTGATTTCCAGAGGAGATCCCAATGAAGGAAAACACGTAAAAGAAGCAGTAGTGTTCCTTGGAGGGACATTGCCACAAAAATCCAGCCCAGGAAATCCATCTCAAAGGGGCTCACGTAAGAATCTATTCCAAAGTTCCTGGTCAGGTCAAACTTGATCTGATTGTATGAAAGCTCTATTAAGCCCTGGCCTAGGCAGAATTGTGGGAATATGATGAATGCCCATTTGAGGATATTGTAGATTTTCTGAAAACTCTGTATGAAGACACGGGAAGGATGGAGCAGAATAAAGATAAAAGGGAAAAAATTTAGTTTCCTCCAACAGCCTAATGAGCAGACTTGCAAAACTGGATACTGCATTCAAATCTTACTCAAGGTAAACTGAATTCTAAAGCACATATTGTGAATTATTTTGGGGTTCAGGGTTATATAATATTGCATTTTAGACTTTCTATACCCATGGCATTTTAATCTTAGCTGAAGTTCATAGAAAGTACCAAAACACACGTAGCCATAATTCTTCTATTTCCTTAACATTTCAATATTTGAATAATATCAAATTTAAATCACAAACTTAAACGCAAGTGAATACTGAATTTTCTTACACACTTGCATGACAGATTATACAGATTTGACTTTAAACATCAAGTTTTAACCTTTACATGAATAGAGAGTCGTACTCATTCTGGAAGTCCTTTACATCAAGTTGTTTAAATACTGTTATGACTAATTAAAAATACATACATGCAGTGAGAATGCACTGTATAAATTACTATTCATAAAGTACATTAGAGATTCTAGGAATATGCAGCTTATCTCTTATGTCAATATTATTCAAACACATTTTACAATGCATATAATCTATTTAATTGACCAGAACAGCTCCCATTATGTGCCTATTACAACTTAATGGTCTAGAAAATGTCAAAGTTTCAATTAACACTGTTTTTCCATTATTACAGCATGCTTTTTTGGGTTATAGACAAGTTAAAATTCATGATGGTAACAGTCAATATAGAAAAATCATGAATATATAAAAACCATATATTTTTCTTCTGGAAAAACCTTATCTGTATAAATATATAAACACACATGAACATTCTCAAATATATATATATATGCATGTTTGTGTGTGTATACATCCCATTTATGAAAAAGGTAAACCAAAGATTTGATACTGACCTGCACTTTGGAAATTATAGCTAACAAGCGAGGTAAGAGAGTCACCAGCATGGTACACAGGCCAAACACAAAATTTAAGGAGATGTAGGAAATAAAAGCTACATCTGAACTTGAGAAGAATCTGGATGCAAGATACATCCAAGGTAAAGTTGCATATCTGAAAGTTTAAAGAAACAAAACTGTCACAAATAAGCTGTGCTTTTGACTTTTTCTAGTGTTATCACACTAGAAAAATCCCACAATTATTGTTACTGATTTTTAGAACAGGCAAACAATTCTTCAGAACAAGTGATTTTAAAAAGGGACAAATTTGGGATATATATTCTTTAAAAAATTGGCTTATACTTCCATAGATGCACACATATTTACTGCCATGTTATGTGCAGATATGATCCATTTTTGCTTATTTGAGCTGTAGATATTTACTTTAACTGTTCCAGACAGCTCACAATCCTGATTTCTGAATGATTGCAAATCCATGAACCTTTCAAGCCTCTTACACATATAGAATTAAACCCAAATATTTAAAGCTTAAATCGTGGATGCTGAGCAGTTATCTTTTCTGAGAGGCTTTCATATAAAGAAAAAAAAAAAAAAAGAAGAAGAAGAAGAAGGAGGTAGTGAGCAAAGAAAGAAGAAGAAGAACAAGTAAAAACCAATCATTTTTGAACTGGAACTAGTATTTGTGCCAGTGATATGTGAGAATTGAAAAATCCTACAGACCATGTTATTACCTCAACCAGATTGTCAGTAGACTAATAGCTGTAGAAAATGAGTGCATAACACTATGAGGACAAAATAGCATGCCCATGGCTACATCATCTTCAATGAGAATCTTTAAAGGGAGGAGGAAGGCACCTCCATCATGACAAATCAAATTATGCCTATCCAGAATGGAGCACACAATGGTTTTTATTTATAGAGAGATGTTTATAAAGATTAAAACAAGGCCCAGGCAATCAGAGCATGCATGCCATGTAAAGAAAATTTATTTTCCATTCAACATAGTGAAAGATATCTGTATCAAACAAGCAGTATATAGACTGCAGGAGCATATGTATCAGCATACACTACTGTACAACAATAAGAATATATGCAGTGTATATATAAACACTTCCTGTAAAATATCAATATGTATAACTGGTTTAAAAATGAGCTCATTGCAAGAGCTACTAGCCAAAAAATCTGTGAATTCACTTCTTCATTGCCTTAAAGTGTAGTTTAGATTACTAAACTAAGTCATAAAAGTCATTTTACTAAATGACTTCAGAATACTAAACTAAGTCATTCCCTTTTGATTTCAGTATTCTGTACTTTATAGATGAATCTTGCATTGCAGAATGCCAAAATCCTTTACCTTAAAAACCAAACTTGCAAACCCTGCTGGGAAGTAATAATAATGTTATCTTCAGTTTACAGGAAGATAAAGGTTAAATGACTCAATGTTTGGGTCTCAAATGAAATTGTAATTATTCAAGATCCCATTATACTTTTCAGCATCCTTTTGCCAGTCTTAATCACACAATCTTTTCTTCCCTTGACGCACATACCAAAATCACTGTTCTCAGAGTAACAATATCATAAACACAAGTCCATCCTTGGAAACAGCTCAGGAAGACACATGATTTAGAGGGCTGTTGCTCTGCTGTCAATGAAAGCAAAATTTGATTTTTTTGCTTAGAGCTACTAAGAAATGAGTAAGACTTTCAGAATCCTAAAGCTGAATGATGCTCAAATGCAGTCTTCAAAGTTGCAGCAAGTTACATCTACACGTCTATCCTCTTTCTCTTTCTTCAGCTGCAGTTGCAATTTAGTATTTTCTAAGTATAAAAGACAGAACATTTTGGACTACTTAAGCATTTGGACTAGAAAACACCTCTGCAATCATCTAAAAGATAAAAAGATGTAGTTTAGTTTTATTTTTAAAGGAAATCCCTTTTAAAGTAGCACAATAAGAAATTTGATCATTCTTTTGAACACACCCTCTTTAACCTTTTTGTAAAATTGGACTATTTTTGTCTTTGTTCTAGATCAGAAAATCTGCACCGTGTACTCTGAAGAGAAAAAACATTTTTAAAGGGAAAAAAATGCAGACGATGATGGCATGCAGATAAATGAGGATTATACACACAGTACTGGGGAAGAATAAAATGGCCACAATAGGCTTCATCACATTTATGGTGTAGTTAGGCTGAAAAAAGGGTAGATTAGGAAGAGTGGAAACTGTAAAGTTTATCAATGTCCTTGACACATGCTAAACTTACAGCTATTGGATCTTTAATATATGTTAATACACATGGAATGCACAGATTTCCTTGTTAAAAATCACTGCAACATCTGTTATTGTCAGCCAAAGCTGAACAGTACAGGAGGGATTCTATTGAGCTGATTAAGCTGCATCTGCAGTCAACAAAATAAGATCTGTTTTCATTCAATTACTTTTTTTCTGAGATACTCAAAGTATAACTCAACATTTTGATTAAAACAATGCCAGCATAACTGGTACTTGATAGCTCACTGTGGGCAGGGCCAAAGCCCATACATAGCACACTAGAAAAACCCGGTCCTGACTTCAGTAGACCTACAGCTCTGTACTGTGTGCTTCAATTGCTGCTTGGCTAGGGTTTCTATAGAAGCCTATGCCTTGCTAATATGACAGCAACTGGATCACAAGAAGGATTCAGTGGTTGTAAAGCCAATAAAATAAGGTGTGAGATTTCATAATGTGAAATCTTTGCACTAAGACTGGTTAGAATTTGTGCCCTTAACTTGAAGGAATCACTTGATGGAAGTGCAGAAGAAAGGAAGTGAGGGTACTACACAAGAAAGATACAGAGAGGAGGAAATTATGAACTTGGGATATTTCATACAAGTTATTTACAAAATCCTAGCATCATGACCTCTAGAATATTTCATACTATTTTGGCTATTCACATCCAGGAAATAGGAGCTCAAACTGGAATTATAAGGAAAAATTATAAATAGAATTATACATGGAATTTGGAAGGTTTTACAAGAGAGGACTTTGCTTGTTTTGGCTTGCAAAAAGCATTTGGTGAAGGACAATTATGAAATATGGTTCTGAATAAACTTAGGCAAGAATTTCCAAGAAAAAAATCCAAATTTGAGGATACCTACACAGTTTCTAAACAGTGAGTTGCTGGAGGCACAAAACTGTGAAAACAGTTTTCAAGGAGCAATATAGTAAATTGGGGAGTTTTTTGAAGGGTTTATCTGAAACTCTTCCTGGAACAGAACATGTCCTGATCTTGTAGAAGGTCCTTTCTTTTTTCTTTGCCTACCATTCTCTCATTAAGTACATATATTTCATTATCTAAACATCTGTCTTGTAAGATATGCACTCTCCCCTACAAGGGCAGCAACAATTAGTTACTTGAAATAAGTAATAAAATTCTCAGAAGCCTTTTCCTTTAACAATTCATCTTCAGCATTTTTAACATCACCTTAGACATGGTGAAGAGTTATGACTCCCACTATGAGCTGAGTCCCAGTATGTTTCAGCAGACCTGGGGCTTCTGTCTTTATATAAATAAATAATTTCAAAATCAAACTCTATCAGAAATCTTACCCTGAAATCATGGTGTATTACAGAAGCTGTACATGTACAGCAAAACAACTTCAATTCTGCCCCTCAACGGACATGACAGAACACACTATTAATATAATTGATCCCAGGGCTGAACAGACTTAGTTTTATAGAGATCCTTTATTGAACCAGTTATTTTAACCTTCTATTACAGTATTGCTTTTTGGTTAGGCTTTGGGGTTTTTTTTTTCCTGTTTATTGCTTGGGGGTTTGTTGTTGCTTGTTTTGGTTTTTGTTGATTTTGGTTTTTGTAGGTTTTTGGTGGATTTTTTGGTTTGTTTTTTTTGTTTTTTTTTTTTTTTGTCTGTTTGTTTTGTTTTTTGCTGCTATTGTTTTTCATGTGAAACTAAGCAAGAGAGCATGGTAGAAATTTCCTCTCTCACAGTACTATTGGGAGACAAATCTCCATCCACCCCAGTACTTCACATTGGACAGACTTCTCATTGGCAATATAAACACCTATGTTGAATTACAGAAAATGGTTAGAGCTGTAATAAAAGCCATTTCTTACTTCTTGATGATATTCTGCGCAGCTAAACACTGAAATTCTGACCTATGTTAATATTCCCTCATTTCTGGAAGATAACATACAATCAATTTCTAACAGTAAACTGCTGTTATACAGGCTGAGTATCTTCTAAGATGTTTGCTCTCCTTTTGCACTCCTTTTTATTTTTTTTTTAATGTGTGAGTAAATCTCCCTCCACTTTTTGTGTTTAATTTTCAAACTCAGGTTTCAGCCTGTTTTCTCACTATGCTTTGCTGAATCATAATTTGTTACAAATACAGAAAACCATGCTTCCAGCAGCAGGTGCAAACTACATCTAAAGATTTATGTTTGTTTCTTGGAAGCTGTAATTCCAGAGTAGCTTTTCCAATCACATACCCAAAGAGTATCAGCAGGAGAACAGTGGCTGCCAAGTTCTTTCGGAAAGTGAAGGCTGATAGCTGGAAGGCACTAATAACACCAACACAAAGGGTGACTGGAACCATGTAAAGCAGCTAGAAACAGAAGGGAAAAAAATTGAGCAGGTAAGCATCTCTTACTGGTCTTATGTAAATTGCATAGAAGGGTTTAACAAATTAATTTCTCCATACTCTCAATACAATTATACTGTAAGTTAGGAGGAAATAGGCAGAAGAGCTTGGAGATTTGATAGTCTGCACTTGCTGTGAAACTGCCCCTTACACATGAAACAACCTGACAAGATAAAATCTGACTACAGAACATCCCCCTTAATCCTATTTTTATTGACCTTTCCAATACATCCATTTAACAAGCCAACTCTTCCAGATAATGAGTCCAGGTGGGGCCATTGCTCCAAAGTATCAAATTACACTGTGAATACAGAGGATTGGTTTCAGAAACAGCAGTTTCACTGATTGGAGCTGCATTCATGAGGGAGAATAATAATGATGTAATTTTAAAAGAGATTTTAATGAAGGACCATGTGCGCTGATGAAGCAAATTACATCTTTTATTGGGAATGTTAAAAACATGTAAAAGCATTACAGTCGTTAGGCAACAGGGAAAGCAGTTTCTCTCTTTAGTCTCTTGACATAATGACAAGCAATACTTGAGGGTGGCAAGGTGGGATTGGTACAGGAGATTCATATCCACGTATTGAAGAAAGGCGTTCTGCTAGTAAATAGCCACGTCAGGATGTGAAGACCTGTGCTCAGCTCCATTTTCAGTGTTGCCTGCTCTGTGCACTGAACCTGAGCTCACTAGGTGCTGACTGCCTCCATTTCTGCTTATGTAATATTTAGCTTTATAGCTTTAACCTAACAGAACTGAAATTCTGAGATACAACCACAATAGAGGCAACAAATCAAGGTTTAGCTAAATATTCAGTGTAGAAGAACAACATACTGTTAAAATTAGACTTTCATACTGAAGCACAGTGAAAACCTGTTCCAAATTAAACCAGAGGCCATCACATCTTTGCTAGTGGGAAAACATACTTTTTTTTTTTGTTTTTTAAGTCAAGGGTAATGGAGTAAAATGTGGATGGATGCAATGTTTTCATTCACAGTGTACCTTTTCTTTGCCATATACAAGTATCATAACATACCACCCATAGATATATGTTTCAGTTATCCTGAAGCTGTTTAAAAATATTTTAGAGAAGTCACAATGCATTTGAGTCCCAGTATTTTTCAACAGACCTAGGGCTTCTGTCTAGAAATAAATCAATAACTTGAAAAATCAAATTCTATTGGAAATCTTACCCTGAAATCATGGTATATTACAGAAGTTGTGCATGTACAACAAAACAGATTTAATTTTGCCCCTCTAGGGACACAAGCTTAATCTGAACAAAATGTCTTTATTTCTCTTTAAATTTTCCAAGCACTTACATTTTTTCCATTTATTGAACATAGTAATGAATATCATTCATACCTATAAATACAGTAAGAACAGCCTGATTCTCATGAGAGCAATTTCATAAATCAAATACTTCTGCATGCCTAGTAAAGATTCTGCTACCAGTAATACAGGACACAGCCTGTAATATTTAAAATACGTAGAGGGATTTAAAATTTGACAGTTCATATATTCATGTGTTCAGTGTCCCTAAATGATCTGTAGCACAATTAGCATTTAAAGCAGTGTCTATTCTTTCCCACATCATGATTGATCATGCAGTACTGTGTTGAATTTGTGAGAACACTTTGAGAGATTGGCAGAAAATAATGAGGAGTTGACTTTGCTCACAAGGAGAAACCGAATGATGAAGGACTGTTTTTAACCAAGTCTTCTTATCTGAAGCAGCAGCAAAAAGAAATGCCAAGATTGACTGGCCAAGTAAATAACATTTGGAAAAATGTGCTCTTACCTCAAGATTGCTCAAGTGTGAAAATTCTGATTTCAAGCATGGATGGGTGAAGATCTAATGTTTCATAATTAGAACGGTCTAAATGAAAACAGTGTTCCAAAAATTTCTGTTCCTGACCAGGGTGTCATAGAATCCAACCTAAATGTTGGAAAGGACCTTAAGAACATCAGGTCCAACCATTAATCCAGCACTGCCAAGTCCACCACTAAACCATGTCACTCAGTGCCATATCTATATGGCATTTAAATACCTCCAGGGATGGCAACTCCACCACTTCCTTGAGCTGCCTCTTCCAGTTTTTGACACAAATAAAAGGTACCAATCATAAGTATCTCTCATATTATCCACAAAAACACATAACATAATTATCCCTTAAAGTAGATGACTAGTATTTTCAGTTTTCTCCACTAATTTCTAAGGTTTTGCCAGTGCATGGCAAAATTCAAAGCATAGAAATTCGTGCTGTGAGCTGCTGTGTGGAAGAGTCTTTCTGTCTAGGCTCATTAGTCAGTTTTATTTTATTTGTAAAATAGTGTACATAGCTAAAGCTAGCAAATAATTACAATTCAACTTTGGGAAGCAAGGAACACAATCCCCACCCTGCATTAAAATAGGAATGGTGACTTAATGTTTGTTAGCATGTCAGCCAAGAGCTGTCACTGCACAATACAAATTTTATTCATTATCTTGTGACCATATCTCCTTTTACTCATTTATAAGAAACTAGCTTTAAACGTCCATCTGAGCACATGCTCCCTTATGTAATACATACCATATCACAGCAGAAGTTAGCAAGCCAGTAAGTTTTGTAACCCAGGCCTGTGATGTGTTGCAGGCGTTTTGTCCCAGATACTCTGTCCTTCACTATGGCAGTTCCAATGGATGCAGTAAGGATGGAGAAACCCAGCATGATGCACAGTGCTACCCCACACTGACGAACATTCTCCATTCTAGGGTAAAAAGCAAAATAGTGCAATGAAAACACAATGGGGAAAAACCCCTCAAATGCTAGCATTTTGCAGGCCAACCTTTCACCAAAACACTAGACATTAGGACATTTATTCTGATTGCAAACGCCACAGAATCACAGAATGGTTTGGGTTGGAAGGGACCTTAAAGATAGTCTAGTTCCAACACCCTGTAATGAGCAGGGACACAATGTCTCTTCACTGTCAACATTTAATTAAAGAACAGGAATAAGATCTGTTAAGTTACAAAACTAGAGGTGAGTTACAAAGCACAGCATGTGTCTGAGTTGTAAAGTGAAGCTTATGCAAATATTTTACCTTTACAGAAAACTAAAATTTAAACCTTTGAAATAATTTGAAACAGTTACCCGGTTTAAAACTGTTATGACACAATCAGCATAAATTCAGTATTTTCTTTACAAAATACTGCAACTATTTTTGGTATAAACAGTGGACTTTACAGACAGGTCACGCTAAAAAATGCTTCACTCAGCAGAACTGAATTGTGTCTATCCATTCACAGCATCTATTCCAGGAAATATATATCCTTATCTAATTGATAGTTTCAATTGTCTGCTGATTGCTGCAGTGAAACATTTTAAGAGTTTGCTCACATTTTGTCCTCATCCAACAAGGCTCCTCCATATGGTTGGCTGTAGAGTGTTATACCTGTGAAAAGAAAAATAAATCGTGACATATTAAATGTCATTAAGGACTTTAAGTTCTGGAGTACATGGTTAACACTTGTTATATGTATGAATAAAAAGGCTAAATACTTAGCAATCAACTGAAAGAGCTCAAATACCAGTCTGCAAAACCAAACACTGTCTCCCATTGAGTGATTTCCAGAGTCTGGAACCACTAAAAACTAATGAATAAACACAAGTAGTAGTTGCTTTTCTGTGTTCTGATGCTCAAAAATTGTTTCAACAATGCTGTATATCACTACAGAACCTACATCACAGAAGAGACCAAATACAAAACCTAAAGTAGAATTTGTTCATATACCTAATCTTCTGGGGTAAGGTAGATTGTTACTGCAATGTATACACTTGGTTTAGAATTTAGATTAGACCATTCAGGATTTTTAGATTACTGATGTTTTGCTGAGCAAAACTGTTTAGCTAAATTCACAAAAGAAAAAAAAAAAGTCATACCTTTGATTGAAACTGTAGAGCTCTGCATTAAGAACATGCCTAGTTTGGGAGACCAAGAAAAATCTTAGGCAGGCAATGAATTCTCTAGGCTTATTTTGATTCTTGGTGCAACCAACCTGTAGCAACCTAGCAAAATTAACTTTGGAATTGGAAGGTAGTTTATGAATAAAAACTGTGTCTTTTTGCCTCTTTTCTTCTAAAACAAAAGAAAAATTGTGGGAGGGTGAAGGTGCAAATCATTGCCACTGCAAAAGTTGCTGTTCCACTGGACTTGATGCTGTTGGCCACTTATCTGAGAAGGTGTGCCTGACAGATGTGCTGGCTGTGCTGGGTGGAATTAATTTTCTTCACAGTAGCTGATAGGGGGTATGTTTTGGATTTGTGCTGGAAAAAATGAGATAACACAGGGATGTTTGTGTTGCTATTGCTGGGCAGCACTCAGAGCCAAGATATTTTCTGCTCCTCCCCCACTCCAGCAGTAAGGAGAGTAGGGGGTGCACAGGGATTTGGGAGGGTCCCAGTGGGACAGCTGACCCTGACTGACCAAAGGGACATTCCATACTATGTGGCATCATGTTCAGCCTCTAACATGGGGGAAGAATGAGGAATGGGAGGGATGTTTGGAGTGATGACATTTGCCTTCCTAGGTCAGTGTTAGCCATGATGGGGTCCTGCTCTCCTGGGAAAGGCTGAACACCTTCCTGCCCACAAGAAAGGGTGAATGAATTCCTTGCTTTGCTTTGCTTGTGTGTGTGGCTTTTTTCCTACATATTAAACTGCCTTTATCTCAGCCCATGAGTTTTATCACTTCTAATATTCTCTTTCACATGCCACTGGGGGAGACTGAGGAAATGGTTATGTGAGTGGGCCTTAAGTTAAACCACAACATCAGCATTATTTAATTAGTGTCTAAATAAATCTATGCTGCTCCAAATTAAAACAAAGAAACAAACTTAATCCTAACAGCAATTATAATTTTTCTAGTATCTTTGGTAAAGATATAAATTGTTGGTAGCCTTAGATTGACTCTGGGGGGCACCACTTAATTGAATTTGTTAAAGTCCAGCTGTAAAAAGACAAAAAAAATCTTCATTCTAGTAACAAGTGCCATTTGACTAAACAGGCATTTATTTTGCCTTATTTTTTTCCCCTTTAATTTTTCATTCCTCACCTTCAAGCCTAATTAATCTAAACATCACTAAATCACTGCATGCTAAAAAGCTGAAAAACAAGATGATGATTAACTCACACACAAAACTTGTACAAGGTAAAGATTTTTGAAATACCAACTAAATGCAGTACACTGAAGCTCAATGGTAGTTAGAAAAACAAAAGAAGATTCAGGCCAATAACATTTTGATGTATCACTAGTAGATACCTTGCTATTTGTAGAAGTCTTTCATGTCGTGTGCCTTCAGGGACTGTTATAAATTTTCCTTTGTTTTTCTTTTAAAGCATTAATTTTTTAAACAACTGCTGCTATTTGTTCTGAAGCAAAACAGGCATATCAAAGAAAAGTTTTCTTTCCCACTGGAACCATAGAATTTCCATTTATGTAAAGGAGAAGTAGCATGACAGAAAAAAAGTTTAGTTTAGTTCCCAGAAAGTTTTTCTAGGCTTTTCTAATGCTTGAACTAAAGTAAGCATATTAGAAGAAATAATCATAGAATAATATGTAGAATTGAATGGGACACACCAGGATCATCAGATCCAACTTCTGACCCTACACAGGACACCCCAAGAGTCACACCATGTGTCTGAGAGCGTTGTCCAAACATTTCTTGAACTCTCTCAGGCTGGTGCTGTGACCACTTCCCTGGGGAGCCTGTTTTAGCACCCATCCACCCTCTTTTCCTTTAGGATATCCAACCCAAACCTCTCCTGGGTGAACTTCAGGCAGTTCCTCAAGTCCTGTCACTGGTCACAAGAGTGAAGGGATCAGTACCTGCCTCTCCACTTCCCCTTGTGAGTATGCTGGAAACTGCAATGAGGTCTCCCTTCAATTTCCTCTTCTCCAGGCTGAGCAAACCAAGTGACCTCATACCACTTCTCCTCCAAGCCCTTCACTATCCTTGTGGCCCTCCTTTGGGTGCTTAATAATAGCTTAATTTGGAGTTTCTTTTTTGTATTGTGGCACCCAAAACTGTATACAGTGCTTAAGGTGAGGCCACTCCAGTGCAGAGCAGAGCAGGACAATTCCTTGCCTTGCCTGGCAGCAAGATCTCGGGGGGAACTTTAAGATTGCTGCATTGGTATTAAACAAAAGTCTACAGCAGTTGACTTGGGTTCCATGCACTGTTTTATTTTCTATTAACTTACAGAATAAAGGGAAACTGTGAAAAAGAGATAATTGCAGGAGAAAATAAAAACTCATGACATTAAATAGTATAATGCTCCTTGCAGTATTGTATCATACAATACCAATCAAAAGTCAAAGTCACACTGAATTAACTTCCTTCTATGGAATAGTCACAAAAACTAATCACACATCTTAGGAGTAGCAAACATTTTTGGCAGCCAATTTCCAATCATGTAGATGAAACAAAGGATTACATTTGCTTTTAGTTTACACTCACAACTGAAATTAAATTTCACAAGGTTGTGAATTACAAGTAAGAAAAGTATGACTGTGCTAAACTAAGTTCAGTTGTGCTTAGAATTCAAAATTCTATCACTGCATTAAATGTAATACTTGCCTTTGATTCAGTATACTAAGTTTCTTCAATTAGTCTGAGGCACGACAATCTCTGAATTTGCTGCCTTTTTAGTATAATGATTTCTTCACCCTATTGTCAAAAATTAGATGATTTTTGGATAGAGCCAACAAACTGGCCTGTAATTCACAGAGGAATAAAGTTCCCTTGAACTCAAGAAATAAGTTATAAATTATCTTCAAATACCTCAAAAAACCAACAGAATTAATATATGGTATTTGCTAGTATATATATTTTTTTATTTTGAAAACTCTTCCATGTACTTCTGTAACCTATCCCTTCCTACATTTCTTCTAACCACCTAGACCATCTTTTTTTACACATATCTATGTCCCAATACAGCTGTTAAAATGATGTGAAATGTATTTATTGATACTTTCTTGCTTCTATATGCCTTTTTACTATGCAAAGCTGCTATAATGAGGCTCATTAAGTTGAAAACTCTCTGCCATGTTTGAGGACTTAAAAACTATAAATGACAGATAAACGAAGAAGTTCTAAATTATAAAGCCCCAATTAAACAGATGCTTCTGGTGTTCATGCAAGGATTTTTTTAAGGACTGTACTTGCAAGCCTTGTGTGAATAGCCCTCAGGGCAAATATTACCATATCAGTATTCACAAGGGCAAAGCAAGCCAGGCAATAACACCAAATATGATATGATTCAGCACTAACTCTGTCTGCTCCTTTTCATAAATTTCTCAGGATAAAAATTATTTCTTCCACATCTGCAGATTGCCATTACATTCTCCTCACTTAATCACAACAAAAACTTTCTTTATCATCCTAAAATATCCTTTATCTATGTCTTCAGAATGCAGTTGATCACATTCTTTTTACAGTGATCACTTAGGCTTTTTTATGGGTGGAGGTGAAAAATTGTAACAGACGCATTCCAACCTTTCCAAAACCAAGCAAAAGCAATTCAGGAGTGGGAATATATTTTCTCAGATTTTTTCAGCTATGAAGCTTCACTTTCTTTCTTTTCTCTGTTGTTTTGCCTTTAGTTCACTACATTTTTGGTGTGTCTTTTTTTTTTTTTTCCTCATTTTTGTCTTTCATTAATTTAAAGGGCTCAGTTGTCATCTCTTGTATTGCTCGATGAAAACGTTGGGTTTTTTATACAACTGAGAACAAGTGCATTTTTATCAGTCCTGCAAGTCACATTACTATGGAAAAAAAAGAGGTGGGAAATAGTCAGAGATTTACAGTTTAACTATAAATTTCAGCAGTAGCACAGCTGGGGCCTAGGCAGGAGAGTGTATTTACTTTGAAAATGACACTAGGAGCCCCATGCTAAATGCTTAATAGTGGAAGAAGCAGTAAACTATTCATTGTAGCCCCTTCAGCTTCTCTATAATTTCCCTTTTGTATTCTCTCTTCCAGGTGGAACAATCCTACTCCTTCCCTTGCATTGTTCTTGATTTAAAAAAATTTAGATTCTAATTTGTTAAAAAGAGATCACTAACCTACTAAAATAAATTCTTCATAAAATATTAGAAGGATTGTAATATTTTGTACAATAAAAATTTTGTACAATAAAAAGAGGAAAATGAATCCACATTAGACAAGCTTGCTGTGAACATTCTGCATCCTGCCCTGTTGCCATTCAGGAGCTGCACAGCTTAGGACACCTTTCCCTATACCAATATCTTACTAACAGTCTTCAATCTGTGCCTTCAAGAGAAAGTGCTCTAGATCTTTTATCTCACATCTACACCAGCTGACTCTCTGTCAGAAAATAAAGGCATGCACAATTTGGCATAACTTTAGAGAGTTGGGTATTTCCATCCTGTACATGATAAATAACAGAAGTCATTGGTAGTCCAGTCCATCCCACCTGGGTGCAACTTTCTGCATAAACACACTTCAAAATCCATGTTTTTTCAGCAAAAATAAGGAAAGTGATATCAACCCAGCAACACTTTCTCAGTATCAGTTGGAGAAATCTAGATGAAAAAATCTTAAAGGTCTTCAAGCTTGTACGTCATCTCTGTAGATTAGTCAGAGCTGTCCTTAGGTGTATTTTCTGGTTCTGCACCATATTTTGGGTGTGTCACTTGTCACTCCTTTGTAAACTGTTATGTTAAGCTGAATCTTGCATACATAGATCAGTTTAGATCTGTGCTACTGATTCTAAATACCATGACTGTGGCAGACTTTGAATAGAAGACCAATCTATCTTTCTTTATTCAAGACATTTTATTTCAGACCAAATAAAATATTAAGTATAAGAAAAATTGAGGTAGTACATATATATACATATATACACATATATATACATATATATATGACAATATTTCCATTCATGTAAAATGAGACATTACTATTAACTGAAAATTATATTTTATGGATAAATTCACAGGCAGCACCATCATTAACGGTTTCTATTTAAGTTTCCCCCACTAACTAGACATGGTTAAGAAGGTTCCACCCAAAGGCCATTTCACAGTTTCCTTTGTAATAAGGTTTAAAGTTATAATTTGCAAAGCATTCAGGAAACTATACATCCACTTTCCACCAAAATTCAGCTGAAAATTACTCCCTTGATCCCTTCTGCTCTTTTGAAGGACTGAATCTGAAATAAATGAGGATGCTACATGAAAGCTACAATGAATCCTAGTATGAAAGCTTTTTTTAAAAAATCAATGACTCCAGTATGAATCCTAAGATAGGGCAACTGCATCACAAAAGGCCCTTCTATATTGAGACATTTTTGTTCTTTGAACAATGATGTAAGAACTTTTTTTTGACCGCTCTGCTTTACAGACAAAATTATAGATGACAACCACTCCTTTTTTCTTTATATAGCCTTACCCTAAGAATGAGATTATAGCCCTTCTCCTGTACTCCAGCATAATAACCACATTCTGATTCAAGATTATACAATTAGGTGTGAAAAATAACGTTTTTACTTGATCAAGATTTCTATCTTAAGCTTAAGCAAAAATATTGCCTTTTAGTTTTGTATTCTCCCTACTCCATTATTGCATTTTTTTCTGCTCACAATTACATTACTTAGTTGCAGGAATGCAGCATTTCAGAAAAAAGATTAGAAAACATCGTTCACATAAGCTTGAATACCAGTCAGAGGTGAAGGGTTTGGACAAAAATCCTGCATATCTTACTTCCGTTGTTGAAGTGTCTTACTAACTTTTTAAAAAGTTATTTATTAACATCTTCATTTTCATCATGTGCCACTGAATTTATAACCCTCTAGGAAACAGACTGCATTTGATTTCCTCCACAATTGAGACAGATGGCTTTTTCCCACAATGGGATCAGAGACTTACCTGATGATAAAGGTGAGGTTGGATAGCCACATGATAGAGAACGTAACATATTTTTTATACAAGAAGTATTACTGAACTGCTGTTTCAAAAGAGACATCTGATCCATTTACTACAATAAATTGACACAAACTGATCAGGCCAATTTCTGTTGCTCCATCTAGTTATGTGCACATCCAGCTGGGCAGATATTTTCTTCAACAGACACATCACTATTTACATGAAAATTGCAAGAAACAAACATTGTAACTTTCCTAGTATCCTCACCGAGAAATTTACCAATAATCCCAAATTGTTAAGAGACTGGGGTGAGGAGAAATCTCTCTACTTGCAGAGAAAGTATTTGAAGATCAGATTATACAATAGGAAAAAGGACTGATTTTTTAATCACTAAACAGATATAATTTCCTGCTGCTGCATGCTGAAGACTCAGTATCTTGGACTGACAGAACAAAAAGCAATAATTTTTTTCAAAGCTTTTTGAACAGATATCCCTAGAGATATAAACCAGTGCAAGGCAGCATATGTCCTCTATACTCTTACGTAAATTTTTTTCCTTTAAACTTTCATACTAAATCATAAGTCTTTATACTCTGTACCCTCATGACTGCAGAAAAGACTTTAGACAAAAGCAATTAGCCTCCTGCTCAGCTGCTTTTTATCAAAACCTCTCACAAACTTGGACTAGTGCTACTGATCTCCACTGAAAATTACTGGATCTGTCCTTGTGGGCAAAGCAGGTAGAACTCAACATGTGGTCTGTAATGATTCTTCCCTCCTCCAAAGATCTTGGGAGAACTCCTACTGGGTTCATGTTCAAGAAATACACATAGGATATCACTGCCAAGTGAAAGGGTTTCTTAGCTTTTGTATGAGCACTTAAACAAATGGTTGATCTTGTTGGCCTTGCTCAAGGTTGTTTCAATATCATAGTTGCTGCTATTGTTTACATCCATGGCAATGCTCTATTCTATTGTAGTAAGCTTCTTTCTGTAAAGCAATTTTTTTTTTTTTTTTTTTTTTTTTTTTTTTTTTTTTTTTTTTTTTTTGTGAAGGAAAAAAAGTGTTTGTTCTTACAGTCCCTTTTAAAGCACCAAATGATTTTTATGTCACTTAAAAGTCGTACAGAAGCGCTGGTTCCGTTAGAAAAAAGTTGTTCTGTGAAATAACATGTCATTAATGCGAGACACAGCTACAAAGCCATGTCTCTGCAACATCTTAACAAGCTTCCTCACAGCAATTTCCAACAATATTCTAGAACTGACCTTGCCTATAAACAGAGTTTAGAAGAAGAAAAAAAAAAATCAAAAAGAATAGATTTCAGTCTTGGAACACAGTATGAGGTCTTCTGACTACTGACTTACAGGACTGCATATAACAATTTGAATAACAAAAGCATATGAATAGTTCTTCTCTGTTAGAACAGTATCCTTAAATAAGAGAAAGTTAAAAGTCAAAGTGAACTGAGTTCCAGTGGCCCATACAGCCCTGGAAAACTGGTTTTTAGAAATAAAATATACATATATATTGGTTTCCACAAACAATACACATATATACATGTGTGCACACACACAAACACACAAAAACATGAGTACATGAACAAATATATATATACAGACATCTAGGTAGGTAACTTGACCTATCTTCCCAATATTTCTATCACAGTTCCTTCAACATTGTGCATCAAGAACATGATCAGTCCATCTTCATTGCACTTCTCCAATAGATGAACAAATAAATAAATAACTTTCTCGTTCTTTAGCTCTACTTCTGCAGGCAGCTAACATATTCTGCCACAAGATTATACAATGAACCCATACTAATGTAGATATCAGTACCAGACTTGAAATATTTCTTAAGCACTGTTGTGCTTGCTGCATTAGTGTGTCATGCAAGATCAAAAAATAAATCATTCCCAAAATCTTTGGGATAGCTATCATTTTCTCTGAGTGAAAGCAAACCCTGATTCTCCATGATAGATACAAAAGTAAGGGTACACAAACGTTTAAGTTCCAGAATGAGACATCTAATGGTATAGAAAAAAAAGCTAGCATCAGTCAGACGCATGAAGTTGAGGGTAAAGTTGATTAAAAATTGATTTCAATTAAAAATTCTTGTTAAAACTTCTGATTTCATTTCATTCAAAGTTTCTGTGTAAACATATTACCTTTGATCCATTCTCATAATTCATTTAGAGAAATGAAACCCCAGCCATCTTGAAAACAAGCTATTACTCTTTTTTTCTTGGACATGCCAGAAAGTTTTCTTAATTAATCTCTGGTTTTAGATTCTCAGGATTCCTTCCCCATTTTCACTGATTTAGTCTTCTTTCTTCATTATAAAAACACTTAAAATCATTTCACCATTACATACGATAATCATCCTAACTTTACAAGAACTCTTAAAAATTGGTCAAAAGCTCTTTTTAAGTTTCCCTAAACCAAATTCCTATTTAACAGAATTTTTAAGAATGAAAGGAACTGGAATGAATAGAAGTTAACATGAATTTGTGAAGTTAATCATGCCCAGATTTCAAACTAGATTTGCACATCCTAAAAGTTCATCTTTGTTAACAGCTGAGTCTTTGGCAGCAGTCATTTCTTTAGATATCTATTCATCTAGATATTTTTTAGATACCTATTCCTTTTAGATATCTATTCATAAAATTCTCACTTTATTAAAGTTCAGGATATCTGAATCAGAGAATTCACATGTCAGACATTAATTGCTCTTTTGTTTCGTACAATAATAATATATAGCAGTTCTTTGAGTAACAGGATGCTATGAAACATCACACTGCCCTGTGAATTTACAGGCCATTCTGGATTTACCCTGGGTATTTACATATATTACATATCCAGGGTAAATATTTACATATCCAGGGTAAATCCATAAATTTATAAATTTAATAAATTTATAAATTTATAGATTCATACTTATAAATTCATAGTCTGTTGTGCCTTACTTATGCCATTTAAGTAAGCCCTAGCAGCAGTTTCAGAGAGACTAACATCCCAAACCATTTTACACTTACTTATTCCACAGGAATGTCTTTGTAAGGAACTCATATGATAGGTTGAGCTTTAAATTAAAATTTTTCCTTACTGTGTATTACATTCTCCACAAAAACTTTCTTTGTAATTAAAATTTTTGCTTTTCAGTCCTCTGGAGAAATGGAACTCTGAAATCCTACTGTAAACCAAAAAATTTTCATACTTGTTATAGTTTATTTAAAAACTTCTTTCCAAAACATATGAATAAATACAAAGAATATTACCATACTCTCTCCAATCCACATTAGAAGGTAGATTCAGCCACAGAATGAAGTTATTGAGTTCATTTAAGTAGGATGGCAGAGAATGGAAACCTTTTTGGTTATACCACACCTGGAAGAAAGAATAGAAAATGTCAATCAAAAGTTGTTTCAATCTGCATGTTGATCTGAAAGTTCACATTCCTTTAAGAATTGTATGAAGGATATCTAATTCTTCTGTTATGACCTTTATTTATAGAAGAAAGTCAACCAAGGCAGAACAGAACTGGTTGATTTGCATAAGTCTTTCAACAACATGCAGCAGTTTTCTATTGTTGGAGCTGTGCACATATGTTTATTACTAAATTGAGATTCTCTGATTTAATGGAACACTGTGTCCCCCTTCCTTTAAACACATGTGGTTGAACAAATAGAAGGACAATGATGTGAAAATAACACTTACTAATTTGATCAGAAATGCAAAAAGGTGAGTAAAACTATTGCTTAAATTGGAAGAATCATTGAAATTTCAAAGTGACTTCTCTAAATAATACTTACATATGGCACAAAGCATAAAGTATCTAGGAACAGAATATTCTAGAAAGAGGGGGAAAGAAAGAATCAAGCAGACACTGTTTACAAGGTATGAAGCTGTTCCATAGACAAAGCTGTTCACTTTGCATTATGATTCAGAATCGAGCATCAGTGGCTTGTTAAACACGGAGGAAATTGATGCAGACAAACTTTAAGGCACAAAAGGCAAGTCAGTCTTTCTGAGGAAAACAGGGAAACAATTCTGTTTTTACATATACTTTATCTTCAGATCATGCAGCTTCACCCTGATGTGATAAAGTACTCTTAATCCACACTTCTACTTGCTAAAACCATTGCCAAGAGCTTGATATGCCCCAAAACCAAATATACTGAGCTTTGAATTTCCTCCGCAGTTAGAAATTGATTCTTATCACCCATTACTGTTAATCATAGTGCCTTTGAATCTATATTATCCATACTGTAAATGACGTCAAATTATTATGGATGTTTATTTTCAGTTTCAGCGACATTTAAAACCATCTAATTATTATCCATTTCTCACAGCTAGCACCCTTTCTTCTCCCCTTTTTTTTAAACAGTTGAAAAACTCCTAACCTTTCTGTCTTTGATATCAGCTGTTTGTACTCTGTATTTTGTACATCCTAGATACGGCAATTCTCGTTGTCTCTCTGGACTCTGAATCATAATGCAAAGTGAACAGGATTTAATATACATCTTTATTGCCCTAACACTCCTCTTATAAGACTTCAGCTTTCTTAATTTCATAGTTTCTAGAATTGCCATCTATACACTTCGAAACTTCCCTAAAGATTCTCTTATCATTCATTGATGCTGTTCTCATTTACTTGCAGATGATTCTGCCTTTTTTTTTTCTTTTTTCTTATACTATCCAACTACAATCCTTACTTGGACCATAGTTCCAGAGTCTGACTGTTTTTTCTTACACATTCTCCTCTATATTTCTCAGTGTAGGCTGCCTTATCTTCAGTTCTGTTTCTCTGGCTTAATAATTTTCTTCTGATTAATTATCCTGACTACCTACTTGTTTGAATCTCCACTTTTTTGTGAGGTGAGGTTTACAATACTCTGAGTCTGTTTTATTTCCTCCCATCTATCCTGGATCATAATTCCAAGAACCACTCTGAGGTCCACTGTCATTTCTTCTCTGCCTCTCACCCTTCAATCTTTTTTGCCACAAGCTCTGTTAGCCATTTTGTAAAAAATTAGCAGCTTTGATCTGCCATTATGCTTTCCTGCATTATCTTTCATATTTTCTACTCTTTATGTGGTATTCACAACTGCTTGAAACCTCAACAGCATCATCAAATCATCAAGGTTGGAAGAGACCTTTAATATCACCAAGTCCAACCACTAACCCAGCACTACTGTTGTAACTCCTAGAACACTAAACCACATCACCCAACATCAGATCCAAACACTTCTTAAACACCTCCAGGGATGCCTCCACCAACTCCCTGGGAAAACTATTCCAATTCCTGACCTCTGTAAGAGTGATTTTTTCTGATATCTAATCTGAATCTGAATTTTGCCTGTTTCAGCTCATGACAATTCTCTCTTGTTCTCTCTGCAGGCACAGCAGAAGAGACCCGCCACCACCTCCCTATAGCCTTCTTTCAGGGAGTTGTAGATAGGAATGAAGTCCCCCCTGAGCTTCTTGTCCTCAAGACTAAACAAACCCATCTCCCTCAGCCATTTCTCATCAGACATTTTCTCTAGACGCTTCACAAGCCTTGCTGCCCTTCTTTGGATATGCTTCAGCACCTCAGTATTATTTTCAAGTGAGGTGCCCAGAACTCAACACAGTACTTGAGGTACAGCCTCACCAATGCTGAATACAAGGAGAAAATCACTGCTCTTATCCTGCTGGCTATGCTACTCTTGATACAGGCCAAGATGTCACTACCTGGACACATTGGTTCATATTCAGCTGGGGGTTAACCAGGACCTTCAGGTCCCTTTTCTGCTGAAAACTCTCAAGCCACTCTACCACCAGCCTGTAGCGCTGCATGGGGCTCCTAGGACACAAGTTCTGGACACAGCATTTCACCTTCTAGAACCTTGTGCAGTTGTCCTCAGCCCAATGATGGAGTCTGTCCAAGTCTCTCTGAAAAGCATTCATACCTTCACAAGCAGATCAATATCCCTATACATCTTAGTATCATCTGCATATTTACTGAGGGTGCTCACATCCAGATCATCAACAAGGATGTTAATTAGGACCAGCCCCAAAACGGAGCCCCGGGGAACACAGCTAGTGACCAGCCATCAAGAGGATGTAGCACCACAGCTCTCTTGCCCAGCCATACAGTTTTTTAGCCATCAAAGAGTCAGCCATCCAAGCCACAAGAAGCCAGTTTTACAAGGAGCATGCTGCAGGAGACCGTGTCAAATGCTATACTGGAGTCTGGACAGACAACATCCACAGCCTTTCCCTCAGCTGGTAAGCAGGTCACTTTGTCGTAGAAGGTCAGGTTGGTTACACAGGATCTGCCTTTCATAAATTCATGTAGGCTGTGCCTGATCCCCTGGATATCTTCCACATGCTGTGTAATGAAATGGCACATGGTACTCAAATGTCTCAAATCACTATTTCCCTACATTTAAAGAAAAGAAAAAAGAACAAAACCTAATATCTTCTCTTTGCAAAGTCATGAAATTCCTTTGTTCTTTTCCAGTTTAGTTCCCACAAATTATTCCACAAACTAGATCTCCCATTCATTAATCAACAAGAGCTTTTTTTAACAAAAGATAGTGAAGAAAACCTAAGATTCACAAGGAAAACTGAAAATCTTTGCACTGCAGGACCTCCTGATTGCTCCTGTAGCAATCAGGGCAAAAAGACAGAAACAAGTGATCAAGGGTAACCTGTCTTCTTCGCAGCCCCATAAACCCGTCTCTAATTCTGTTGGTTGTTGGAAGTTTTTCACAAAATAGAAAGTTTTACATGCATACATAATGAAACTCCACTGCAGTTGTGTCTATTGTATTGGGGGAAAAAGGCAATTAAAAAAAACAACAAAGCAAAATTCTGACAACACAGAACAACAACAGGGGAAAGGTCACAAATGTTCAGAGAGCACTTTTGAAATAAAGTAATGCAACCAGTATCCAAATGAATACCACAATACAGCATCGTGTGTAACAATATATTTTAATATCCAACAAGTTAACTGGAATTATCCTCCAAGCTGCATTATTTAACTGAATCAAACCACGAGGAAATAACTAAATGGATATTTAATTTATTATAAACAGGAAAAATAGACATTTAAGGTTGTTTACTTCAGAAGGTACATTTAAGGTCTTTTTTCTAAAGACTTGTTTCTTATTCAAAATTATTAACAAAGGTAAAATATAAAAACAAAGGAAATGTACTAGCTCTAGCTGAAACATCTTTCATATTTCTTTTGTGCCACACAGGTAATTATTTACAGATGGCAGAAAAGAGATGAGGAACAGAAAACTATATACATCAGTATAATTAATTTTTACTTTATATTCTATCCATAGTTAGGAAAATTCTTTCCCAAGGAAAAACTCAACCCCTCACCACATCAGATTGAAGTTCTGTGAAGACATGTTTTACATTATTACATAATATTTTACTTGCCATTAATATTCCAGAATAAAGTTAGACTGACATTCCAGCTAACATATGGTTTATCAAGAAAAAAGGCTGAGAAGGAGCAGAGAAGTCCATCAGGATTGCTGGACCAGATTCATGATTGATATTAAACTAGAAAGATGAAATTTTTTCCTCTGGACACTTATACAATTACTCTACTGTAACGCCTCAAGTTCCAACCTGGGATTGGAAAAATATACTCCAAAAAATATACTTCCAAATGACATGTGAACAGAACAATTTGCCTTTCAGCAGTATTTAAAATTACATGTTCTTCCTATATTTCATTATGTTATGAAAAACAGCAACTCTGAAGCTATTATTGAACAATTTTTTGGCCATATTACCAAAGGAAGCCAAAGAATAAACAGTCAAGAAAATACAAAAAATTGAGAAGTTGTTCTTTTGCTACATAGCACCGATCATTAATGAATGCCAATAATCAATGTTTTTAATTAGCCATATTTGTCATGTCATAGATATATTTTCTCTTGTATGCACACATACACATTCTTCATGTGCATGCATATACAGCACAGTATGATTAGGTAAAATAGTTATTAAATAAATAATTTTTAATTTGAACAAGAAAAATTGCTGGCATTTCAAGTACTGGAAAAGAATGTATAAAGGTCTGGAAATTTTCTAAAATGAAGTGAATGATACAGTAATTCTCTTTAAATGCAAATTTCTCATTTTCTTTCACACCAGGCTATGTAAATGGTACATTCACTGTCTCATGAACAGACCTGAAAGGTCAAAGTAAAAATCTGGTCATTAGTTACTGAAAGGTTAATGCAATAACTTGACATTGCATCCCTTGAAAGACATTTCCAGGAGATGCTTTAGATAACACAGTGCCCTTTATAAATTTACTTCACTATTTGCTTTGGGTCTGAAATATGAAGCTTACTTACTCAGGGTATAACTATAATTTATCCCTATCCTGATGGCAGGTGGTGCTCTATACCCAACACTAAAAAAAAAAGGACCACAGTGCAAGTGTGTTAAAACAAGAAGCTAAAATGATTAAAGATACCCAGGAAAAATTGAAGTCAGAAAAAAAAATATTGCTGAAAACTTTCAGGTTTCTCATAAAGGAATGATGGAACTGGAGTTCAAAGCTATAAAATATATGGAACTAGAAGAGAGATTACAAATGACCAAAATGAAAATCTGTGTATGCTCAGATTTGTATATAAAATAGGGAGATTTCTAACAAATTTTATGGAAAAGGCATTAGAAACAGGAAGTGATTTTGAAAAACTAAGCATGAAACTACATTGAACTGGAGAAAATATGTATTTTTTCCTAACACTTTGTTTCCAAATGGATTTTGGGATGGAGCTTATTTATGCTGTTCCTTGTTTATTTTTTCTTTATAAGAGCACATAAAATCTATATTTACATTAAAAAAATTAAAGGCAGAAGCATCTTTCTTTCATATCCTAATCTAGAATCTGGAAAGTACAAAAGCGGAGACCTCTCACTGATATACATCAATACTTCTCCAAGACTGCTGTTCCTCCACTTGTAATGCATCTACATTTGAATGGATCCCAGAAATCAAAGAAGGATTATTCTAAGCACAACTGAAATAAAGGGCTTTTCCTTAAGGCCTTTTGGTATGCAGTGGCCATGAGAGGTACAGTATCTCCATATTGTGAAAACTTGGGATGAGATCTGGAGGCTAACAAGCACTTACCAATGCAGTGGATTTTATTTCCATTGGAACATTTTAGAAAGGTTCATTTGAAAAAAGAATAGTATGTTTGTTATGCAGAAGGAGCTGCTCCTGGAAGATCTCTTTACTCTTAGAGGGAGGGTGGTGAGAGAAATGAAGCAAAGTAAAGTAACCCTTGTAGGCATGAAAAAGCATCAACTGCAACGCATTACTGTGATGTTCAATGCACTTTGGCCAATTCTGACATCAGCTTTTTGCAGAATACAAACAAAAAATATTATTCGCCTGACTACCTAAAAGCAAGATTTAAACTTAGATTCTAAAATGAGTTCACTGGGACTGAAGAAAAAAAAAAGGTATATCATTTGACTAATTTAAAACAGTTTCTCAAACACAGGCGATTGCTTCAAGAATTATGAACAGAGTTAGACGATAAGAGACAGAGGATTTTTTTCCAAATTATTCAAGTGCAAGGATTTCATGTAGTGATTTATTATTTGCTAAGTACTGTGATGTCTGAAGCCTGAAAAAGTAATCAATACATACATACAGATGTGCACACATATGTGAAACTCTTACCTTAGCCAGAGGCTGAGATTTGGTGTTATTCAATTGTTTATCTTGAAGTTCAAATCTTTTTGTCCCTCCAAAAGACCAACCACCATATCTGATAGTAGAAATTAAATTAACAAAAAGTTACCTGCTTTAAGCTCTGCAGTTTTCTTGCAAGGGTAAAGTTGAGATAGGTACACTAATGCTTTATTTTTCAACTGAAAGTAAAACTTCACCCCTCACAAACTACTTCCTTGTTAAAAAGAAGAGGGACAATGCAGTTTTTAATTGGGTGAATATCATTGGGGTTTTTTCCAGGAAAGGTATTCCCTTAGATAAGAAGTTTTGTTTTCTGAAAGCTGAAATCTTTGATCAACAGGAAGGGGTGTGAGCAAGTGAGGTATTACTGACTTCAGAAACATCTTGAACAGCTTTATTTCTTCCTAAACCATTCATATATTAGCTCGAATCTTTCATCCAATGATGCTTACCTCTATCAAACCAGATTCCCTTTCTTTTAATATATAAGTTGCTAACACTTTCTTCTCCTCAATAAAATCATGCATGCTCTAATATTTCCACTTACATTATCAGCAGTGGTTGAGTTGTAAAGGCACATAAATAAAAGAAATAAACTTCAAAATACAGCAGATAACCTCTGTTGCTGATATCACAGAATATGAAGTATTGCCAGGGGCACACCAGCCCTTTCTACTTCAAAGACAATTTTAATTGGAGCATATCCACCTCTATTAGATTGAGTCTCTGAGGAATGGAAATTATTTTGATCACCTGGTTTAGATATGCATCTCTGAGATGCTGAAATAGCTCACTACCTGGAAGAAACTCCAGACTATGTCTAGAGGTGATCATCATGCAGCTGCTGAAGGAAGTTCTGAAATGTGACCATTGAGGATCTTTCATGTTACCTTGAATCGCAGCCTAACTCTACACCTTGATAACAATCACCACATAAAGACAACGACCCTCTATATTCTCAGTGACAAATGTCTATGCCTATCTATGTCCACCAGGAAGGACTGTGGGGTTTATACACAAAGGATAAACAAAGGCTAGACATTTTAAGGTTACCTTGTTTTGTTGGAAGACCTCACTAAATACTCTTCCACCGGGAACCCTGAAAGATTATACAAAATATGTCCTTTCTTATTCTTCACATAGGGAGCAGAGGTATTGAACATTGGGCACATCTGAAAAAAAGCATACATAAAGTAAGTAAAGCTCTTTTTAAAAGCAGTGGCACTACATTACCCTTATTTTTGGATTTTGATGCACACTTCATAGGATTTCTTTTTAACTCGGTTTGCTTTTCCCAGCTTTAACAGATTTTCAATAAATTATTAATATTTTTATGTTTATAAGGCAACTCAAGTGATTGCACCACCTACACATTAGAAATGCCTTTGATTTCCCTTGCAGCCCTGTCAGTCAGTTTGTTTTGAAAACATCAAAACTTTTATATAAGCTTAGGAATGTTTACAGCAATTGAAAAGGCAAGACTGCTTTTTATTTGTTTTTCTGAGAAGAAACACAAAATAGGCACCAGATAAATATGAGATGAAAGCAAAATTCTAATTAATGTTATAAGCTTGTAAAAATTTAATTGATGAGCTGAACAGAAGAATAAAAGAAGATGTCTTCCAATGATTCAGTGGGATATTCCACAACCAAAGAAAAGGTGAAAGGTATTAGACTCAATTATCTCAGAAGCTTTACAAAGTACTTTATGCCAATAAACAGAAAAATTTTAATGCTTCTTTGATGTCTCAAACCTACAGAAAATAAAAATTCACTCTCAAAGATTGCTCTTACATAGCTCACAGATAAAAGTTCTGCCTCCACTGTCAAGTAACTTCTTTCAGTTTTCATGGTTAATAGACCTCTCCCTGTGAAAGTTCCCATTTGTATTTTATTCAACCTTCTTGTATTTTAAGTCTCTTGAGTATTAGAGGCAAACTTATTCCTCATCCAGAAAAGTAAAAAATAAGTTTCCTCCTTCCATTTTTCCCAAAACTATATCACTATATTTCATGTGCTACTCTTATTCTAAATAATTACATCTTTATAAACAAAATAAACTTTTTTTGTAGGATTCTCCTTTTTGGGGAAATACATTTGTCACCTCAGATGCAGTTTCATATTTTTGTCTACTACTCAACGCAGAGCAAGTCAGCAGGAAAAAATAATTCATTAAGAAGGTCTGAAATTCATTATGTTTTTCAAAATCCTTCATTTCTTGAAGCCTGTTGTATTTTGAAATCCAAAATCCAAACCACAAGCAAACTCTCACAATTAAATCTTATTGAAGTGTAAATTCCCTGGTGGGTTCTACCAGCCAGGTTCACCCATCCTTCCCTTTGAAAGTTCCAGATGTTAAGGAAGTGTTATATTTTAACCTTGTTTTACATGAAGGTTTTTCTTATTCAGAGTCCTAAAACACATTTAAAGTAAGTTGCATCTGCTGAAAATAGTTCAGCTGCCTCTGATCCTGTTATTTCAGATCAATCTATAGCCATTTCTAGTGCACATGTGTTCGTATATATATAAACAAGAAAACTGTGTACAATTTCATTAAGTGAAACAGAAGTAAACCTCCAATCATAACAAAGTCGGACCTGTGAGGATTTATTTCCTCATCACTTTCACCAGCCCTTCAAAAACAGCAGCCAAGGAATTATAAGTAATATACACACATTTTTTACATATGTAAGTAAATAAAATTTACATACCTCCTGTTCAGACACACATCTGCATGAATCCTGAGGTGACACAGATTCCATCTGCCAGCATGAATTATTTTTTCTAATAGGAATAAATGTAATAAAAATTATAACTTGGAAATGAAAGGAATATGTCACTTAACAGAAGAAATCCAGAGAGTAATGAGCAGATCTGGCATGCTAACACCTTCTTAGCATTTCATCACAGCAGCAGCTGTGTCTAGAGTTATACAAATTTTACTTACTTTTATCAAAGTTGATTTATTAAAAATATTTATATAGGCATCAAATGAGCTTCATGTGTCATATTTGCAGCAATTATTAAAGGATTGTCACTATTCCTGAATTTGGAAATCTAGAATACTTCGTAACAAATATTTTCTTTATTGTCTATTCATCTTTCATATGGACACCAGGCTTGATCAAAATAATCCTGAAATTAATCGGAAAACTGCCACTGGCTTTTAAGATGTATGGATTAGACCTTTAACAGTAAAGCCTACTTTGTTCTTCACCTGAGTGCCAGCTCCTTTATCAGAAACGATTTGTCACTAACTCCATGCTGCCAAAAATAGGCTAAGAGAATCCATTACACAGAAAGAAAAAAAAATTAAATGTTCAATATTTAAGGAAATTGTTACATTAGTTACAATTACCCATGTTGTGAACTCATGCATCTGTGGTCCCAATCAGAGAAATATCCCAGTACAACCTGAGAAAGTTTTCCTAGGTCACCACCTTCAGTGCTGCTCAAAGAGGACCATAGGAGTATAAGGAGTGAAGGGAAAAGAAAAATAAAAAAATAAAATAAATAAAGGCATGTTAATATGTGTAGCTGTATTAACCATCAGTCTCAAGGTCCTATATATTTTCCAAGAAATTAAAGCACTATAGAATCCATGCATAAGAAACATACCAAAATAATCTCATTTCAAAGAACTCTATGACATGTAAAGAAAATTCATTACAATTATGGCTAAACAAATCTCAACATCTATTCATGGGCATCCTTCTCCTTATAGTCATGCATTTCTAGCTGTTGGCATTGCTAAAGTGTTTTCATGCTCATAAAATAAATTTTTATTATATTTATAAATCCAAACAACATCTTGCTATGTTCAAGTGTATATTTGCACAATAAAGAAAGTGACTTATATGTGTGATTAGCACTCTATATATAGATTAATTCCATAGACACTGCACGTTAAAAATAAATAAATAAACAGTCTAGTTGGTTTTGAAGCTGAACATACAGAAATTAGGTTGAGTAAGAAGAGCAGCAGGTTTTGTAAATACCGTGTGGCATTTTCAAACCCAATAATTGTTCTGAGAAAATAACTTCAGGCCTAAGCAATTTTTTTAAAATGAAGCATGCAAAGGCTTGTTCAAATATGCTTGTTCAAATACACTTGTTCATTTACATATAAATGGTCATGGCTGGTATTGATTTGAGTTCAATCTTCTCCAAAGCCTTTGCCCTTTCCTCCAGAAAATCCTTCACACACAAAGCTTTTCTAATTTTATCTTTACCTTATAATAATCTATAAAAGTGTATTAAACATCTATAAAAAACTCCACATAACTATTGCAAAAAGTAACCTGTCATTCGTTCTAGAATACAAGAAGGTCTTTACAATAGGAGAGCTCAAGGGTAAAGGTCCCAGAGCCCTGGATATTGATGATGATGGATGAGCCCTTTACCTAAAGAAGGATTCTGCATTGTCATAAAGTCTTGGTGTCAGCTTGAGAGAAGGATAATTGATAGCCAGCGGCTTCACACTAAACAAGGCCATTGCCAGTGCAACAAAGAGGACGGGCAGCAGCACATTTGACAGGCTTCCTCTCCAGTCTCGCCTTGTGTGGTGAAACCTCTTCATCAGAAAGGCAACAATCTGTGTGAGAACAAGGTGGGCTCCATGCATACTTGAGGCTCCGGCAAGTGAAATATCTAAGTGAGACAAAGAAAACAACCCCTTGACAAACACAGAAAACTAAAGTGAACTTTCGCACATTATGTTGTAAAATACAGAACAGGACAGTATTTTAGCTCTAATAAAATCAAACTACATAAGCCCAGCATGCTCTCCTGAATGGAATAGTATAGCCCCATACCCCATCACTTCCAAGTATGACCAATTAACTAATTAACTCCTCCTGTGAAGGAAAACAGATATTCAGTTAACACATTTCCATAGGTTCCCATGCACAGCTAATGGCTTACTGAATACTACTGAGTACTACTAGGTACCCACTATGGTCCTGCACTGGTTTGACCATTCCTTGTCCATTCCACCTTTGTTGCTGGACAAATTACTCTGACAAACATGGCTTGTACTCACACTAATGTCTTGATCTACCTTGACTGGGATCAGCAGCAGCTTTTCTACAGAAATTTCAGTGGATCCTCTTCAGAGCATCACAGCTGCTAGGCACATGGATTCTCATAAAAGCATTCCCTTTATTTCCCTGCTCATATGGGACTGATAAAATTTTCATATTTGTTAGTCTATTCAGTTTTCAGAGCTCATGGGCTGTCCTTCAGATTCACATGGGAGTGTGTCCACATCTTATTCAATCTTTACTGATAGACTCTCTTTAATTTTATTTGATTGTTCTCTGTCAGACACTTGTGAATCACACCAATGACTCTGCCTCCATTTTAGCCCCTAATGCCTTCTAGTTATGTGCAGGTTTTTATCAAACTCTCTTGGCTGTGGCCTTGCCCAATTGAATGTCCTTCAACCTCTTTCTTTCCTCACAGCATTGCAGAGTGTCTGACAGATTTACTACCACCGGTATTTGTACCGTAGCAAGACTGAATAGCCTGTTTATTACAGTGCTCAAAGTCATGCTATATTTTATGAACACTTGTGATTTGCCTCTTATTACCTTCCCTTCTGCTTATTGAGAGCACTCTAACCAGCATTTCCACATTCCATGTTTAAACAGTTACGGGTATGGAAGTTCTCAAGTAACCTCAAATTAATTGTCCTTAGAACAGTTTTTTTTCTGAGTTAACAGAATTTTAATCCCAGACCCTTTGCATTGTTCTAACAGAGTATTTTTAGCCAAGCAGTGAGGCAAAGAGGGAGAAAAATTAATCAGATAATAAGTCAGACTTCTGACCATGGTCATTGAACAAACAGCTCAAATTCTGCTATTTTGGTTTAACAAAGCCTGTGACGTGGTCTCCCACAGCTAAATAGGCTGTGGAGGACAAGGCCCACTGGTTAGACTGACAGGCACCGCCCTGCAGGCTGGGAACAGGGATACTGAATCCAACTGAGGAGCAGCTGGTGAGTTAGGGTGTCCCTTGGGGGAAAAGATGAGCAAAACCCTGGCTAACAGTACCTTTTAACACAGACATGTGTGCATACCTGCACCTGGAGGGGATCCACCCTGTTTGGAGTCATCTTTCTGTCATGCACTGGGGACAAGGAGAACCTCCTGGCAGCAGGAATAGTTCTCTGGCAGCACCTGAGAACCTTAGTGGCATCAGGGAGCAAAATCTCTGCTAAGGGAAAGGACAAGCTACAACAGGCACCAGCTGGTACCTGGAAAATTCTGATATCATAAATCAGGAAAAGAAATTTCACCCTGAAGAAAACAATCAAAACTCAAGACTGGCCTGGACTTGGTGCTCTTGACTTGCTTGACCCGCATTTTCAACATTAATATTCTCTGATTTTAACAGACTATAAGTAATAATTTGGGGGTTATTTTGGGGGGAGGGCAAGGGGGGAAATTCCAGTATTTATTCCTTTAACTCCACAACAGAATTTATTTCTTTTTTCCCCAGAAAATCCCATTGAGCAGAAATTCTCTCTTTAAGACATTCTAATCTCAGCCATAGCTTGCTAATTTGACAGCTAACACAAATGGGATTTCAGTTTTTGAATCTGTGGAGAGAAAAGGTAGCTTCTGAATTCAGATTGTGGTTCAGCTTTCAAGTGCTCTGATCAAGAAGAGTTACATTTTAGGCTTGGAATTTTTTGTTACATAAATTGGAGTAGGAGGAGGAGACACTTGTTAAGAATTTTTTTTTTTAAGAAAACTTCTTAGGAATGTATTAAGTTCTTCATATTATCATGGTAAGACTCTTAATAGTTGTCTCAATACAGAAATTGAGACACTCAGAGGCAGAAAAATTTTCAAGGTATGAGTGTTTTTAGACCAAAACACACCCAGTAAATGCTTCCAACTCAACATCCCTGAAATCGTAAAGTATACCATCTCTCATTCATCTAAGTAGCAAAATGCCAGAAAAGAAACACAGAATTCGATATTTTCTGTAGTTCCAGACCTTATTAACATGATATGTGAGTGAAAGTGTCTTCAAAATATTTGACCCTTTGAATCTCTGAAAGGCAACTATGACATCTGCTTTCTGGGGACAGAAAGGGAAATCAGACCTGCCATCCATTCTTTTTTCTTGACAAACAGAGCAGAGATAAATTATAACAACTTAATTCAGATTGCCAAAGGAAGCAAAACTGTCACCATGAATATAAATAATTGCCCATTTTGTCCAATATCCTGACTCTTACTCAATGTTCATAATGCCAATGAGCCAAGACACACCCCAAGAAGATGCAATAAACCATTATAGTGGAAGTATATGTTTGGCTGTTTAACTCATGCACTTTAAAGTGATTTATCTTTTCTAAAACTTCATATGTTTATTGTTTAAAATTCTAATTGAAAAGGGTGCCAAATATCTTTCTGATTATCTTAAATTTCCATATTTGTGACCTTGAATTCCGTCATTTCTTTGTGTTTCAGGTACAAAACAAAATTCTAGTATACTTGTTTTGAATATTTTCTATTTGAAGATACTGGATGGGCTCTTAAATCTTGCTTTAGGAGACAGGTTATAGAAGTTTTCAATCCATCTTCTGCATCAATAATCTCAACCTTTCACTCTCCTCTTCTAAAAATCTTTATACTCCTAATCAACCTTGCTGCTTGTCTCAAATCCTCTTATATTGACACTGTATCAGTCTCAAGATATAATGTGTTCAATGCAGTTGTCTATCAGACATGGAAACACTATCGATTTATATGATATTGTTATACAGGCTTGTACTGATCAACTTGTTTTCTTTATGCAACATGCCACTCCATCTGACTGCAGCCACACTGTGAAAAGTGGCCTGCATTGGCCTTTCCATAATAGACTCGATAGGGCTTTCAATATTCCCAAGGTATTAAATCACTCTTTGAACTAGAATGTACAGAATTAATTTTTGCTTCATAAAGCTTCTAAGTAATTCACCACCTACGTCTGGTGTGTATGTCAGGATGCATAAAAACAGCATACATTTATGGGAAAACAGCTTCTGATTATCACTGAGAATGATAAAGGCTAGAAGACAAGACCAGCTGACCTCTCTGTTATGAAGTCACTTTTTATGCAGAAAGCTTATGAAAATATCCTCATTAATAATTTAGATCACAGAATTAAAAACCTGACCCAAGTGTTAGAAGCTGTCTTGCCTGACTTACAACTGCAATTATCCACCAGAAGTGCAATTATGTTCACAATTAACTTGTACTTCCCAATTCATCCAGACTCTCCTTTGTATTACAGACAAGACTTTTGTTAGTTGCCAATACATATGAGGTTAATATGAGGTACAGGGAAACAGAACAAGGCCTAAAATCCAGAGACAAAAATTATCAAAATCCTTGCCTCTAAACTACTCCAGAATTAGGAGCAGAAACAATTATTGTAAAAGTGTCTAACGTGGTATTAGATGATCCTTTTCTCCTGTGTTTTTCACTTCTAGAAAACAATGTAATTCTAATGCTTTTTCACAATGCAGAAGGAAAGATGGGTTATGCAATAGATAAACTAACAGCCAGGAGCATACATTTTCAATTCTACTTCTGTCACTTTGGCATTTAGGCAAGTCATTTAGAGGAGCTCCAGATTTTGGGAAGGTAACACCTGGAGCTGCAATACCCTGGCAAAACAGGTGAGCTAGCTCATATGAAACTAGTTGCATTCGGAGGCTGCACAGCATTTATTGGTTTATCAGAAGTTTTATGCCAGCAAGTAGTTCTAGGCTGAGCAAGTGAACTGATATCATTCTGCATTTCAGCACACACCATACTAGCCCAGAGGCAGTGCTAGCCCACCAATCTGGGCACAGCATTTCGTTAGAAGATATAAAAATGTCCTTCCTCTTCTTGCACATTTTTCTACTCATTATAAAAATTATTATTATATTGATTTTGTTTCCAGGAGGATTTTGAAGACAGATTTTCATGGGGGGAATGTGGATAAAAGGCAGTTTGATGGTATAAAGTATAAAGGGAATGCATCTGGTCTGTGTTTCATACAGTGACTGATTCTTGCCTAAATCTAATGGAATAATGAGTTTTCCCTATCCAAAGCTGATCAGAAAAATATTTATTTTGGGGGAAATTTCACAGGAGAAGTTCTCTTGGGGCATTTGTACATATAAATCCTCCTATTCCTCCCCTCAGGCTATTTTTAATTTTAGGCATTGTGAATATTTCTTCTAAAACACTGCTTCAAATTGTTTCCATTTTAAGAATTTCCTGTCTAAGAGTTTCTCCCTGTTCCATACATATTGATTAAACCAATTAAGTAACATTTTTGAAGGCAAAACATGTAGGGTTTTAATTAAAAATTTGGCTTTACATTCTGAGTGCCAAATCCCAAAATAGGATTCTGCATAGGTCTGAAGACCTTTGAGACAGCATAATAGAGATCTAGGCAACCATAGAATTCATCAGCAGAATTAACATGTTTTAAAGCCAAGGAATTGGTGTCTGTCACTCTCCAGCCTCATAAAGAACTCCCTTCACAACTCAGATCTCCCAAGCCCTTTTCCTCAAGCCAGACAGTTGACTGATTAGACAATTTCCTTCCTTTATCTAAGATGTTATTCTTGTTCAAAATCTGACATGCTTAATATTTTGTCACACTGAAGAGCACTGAAAGGATAGTGTGAACAATACATCTGATTCCTACTGAAAAATCAAGAACCAGAGTGACCGGAAAAATGTGCTGCATACTCTCATTGAAGAAACTCCAACACCCAAATCTCACAATCTAAAAATCTGTCCCTAGAAGAACTACCAGCAAACTCACAAAGGAACCTCTTTAAGCTCTTTATTATTTTTTCTTTCCTAGAATAAGGGGTATGAACAAAAGTTCATTTGTACACAAAAAGCTTAGGAAAAGAATGGGGCAAACTCCTTTCAAACTTATCATTGCATTTAAAAGAAATACATCCTAAAATCAGGCCTAAACAAAGTAGGAATTATCTATTCCCAGCAATGTACAAGGGGGTGAAGAACTGGCAATATACAATTGCACTTAAATCTTAGAGGGAGAAACACTTTACAGTACCATCACACTTGACACATTGGAAGGAGATATATCTGACTTTCACTAGTTAAATGAAAGACAGAAGGGTAAAGTGGGTTTCTGCAAAAGAAAAGTTAAAACATCCAGGTGTTAGAGAGCAAAAAGCCCTCATCCATAAAATAATTTTCTTTATTCTTACTTGCTGTGTTGTTATTCAAGCAGTGACAGAGGTGTATCTAAGCAAAAGCATTTGATACTGGACATCACTCTTTGCAGCCAAGATTTTCATTCAGGTATGCCACAGGGTGTAGACACATTGTACAAATTACAAAAGGCACATAATTAAGTGGCAATGGAAAATATGTGTCCAAAGAAGGACAATGAATCTGATGAAGGCCCTGGAGCAGAAGTCTTATGCAAAGTGGCTGAAGGATCTTGGGTTACTTAGCCTGCACAAAAGGAGGCTCAGGGGGAACGTTGTCATTCTCTACAACTCCCTGAAAGGTGGCTGTAGCCAGGTTTGGGTCAGTCTCTTCTGCAAAGAAACCAGTGATAGGACAAGAGGAGTCTTAAGCTGCACTAGGTGAGGTTTAGGTCGGACATTAGGAAGAATTTCTTCACAGAAAGTGTGATGCAACATTGGAACAGGCTGCCCAAGGAGGTTGAGGAGTGACTGCCCTGGAGGATTTTGAGAAAAGACTGGATGTGGCACTCAGAGCCATGGTCTAGTAGATATGGTGGTGTTAGGTCATAGGTTGGATTTCATGATCTCAGAGGTCTTTTCCTACTTAAGTGACTCTGATTCTGTAAATTTGTTAACCAAAACATGAACTCCACTCTTTTTTTATTATTTTGTTGGGAGAGGAGGAACTGTTAAAACAAGGAATGTTCAGCTTAAAGTATCACATGAAATATGACTCATACAAACACTTCAAGCACCAATCTAAAATACTCTACTCCTTTTGAACCTTGACCTTACCATGGGATAGTTTTTGGATAGGTAACTAGCTGACTGGAAAATAATTAAAATTAGGACAAATTTTTGAGTACTGAATAACCCAGTTGAAGAGA